ACCATTTGTTGAAAACAATAGTCTTTCTTCACTGAATGTTTTACTTACGTCAAAAGCTAACTGACTATATTGTGTGTGGATCTATCGCTGGACTCTTCTGTGTTCCGCTGGTCTGTATGTCTACCCTTCAACCAACGTCACACTGTCTTGATAACTGCAGCTTAACAGCAAGTCTTGACATTAAGAGGCATGCGTACTCCAATGTTGTTCCTTTTCAAAATTAGTTTGGCTGTTTTAGTTACTTTGCCTTTCCACAAAAATTTTTAGAATTAGGTTGTTAATGTTTCTTTAACTTGAATCACCTTGAATCTATGGATCTGCTTGAGGAGGAATGCATGTCTTAATCATACTCTGTCTGCAGTACTCTCTTATTAAGTACTAATCTTCGAACTCTATCTGCCTTGTTCTTCCCAACTCCTGACTTTATCTTCTCATTTCAAAAAATCTACTGGGCTCTACCTGTGTTTCCCCTAGTGCACTGTGGCCTGCAAACTCTCTCAAGTCAGTAAGCAGAGCAATCACGGGGATCATCGTATTTATTTCCCCTTTTTGGAGATTGCACTGCTATACTTATCCAGTGTCCAGTGTTGGAAAACCATTCTTTCCCATTTTCCCTAGATTTTTAATTGTTTAAGGTAGGAGCATAAATCTGGTCTCTTTTTTGCCATCACTGTTGGAAGTAGCTCTGTTGACTGTGTCTTAAAAAGCCATTTTTTCTTCTGTTCATGGAGAGAGAGAGTTATTTGTGAAAGCTAGTTCAAGCATTCAGGCAAGAGATGGCATGGGGCTGTATGAGCATGGCAGCACTGGAGGTGATTCTTGGGGCACACAAAATCAGCGGCATTTGGATTTTGGTTACCAAATGAGAGAAAAATCAATAATAAATTTTAGACTTGGCACTTCATCAATTGAGAGGACAATGGCTCTGATTCCTAAAAGAAAGAAAACGAAGGAAGGGGCAGGTCAGGGAATAGGAGAATTGGAGATACTGTTTTCAGAATGTTTAGCTTGTCATGCCTCCTGTTTGTGTCCACAGAAATTCCAAGAAGTTGACTTGGTTTTATGAAGCTGTAATTTTGGGAAGTAGTCAGGGCTGAGGATGGCTTAGATTAACAGTCAGGGGTACAGTATATTCTTTTGGTTTTAGTTCACATGTCGTAATTGCACATATTTAAGGGATACAGAGTGATATGCTGACACATGTATACAATGTATAATAGTCAAATCCGGGTAATTAGCATATCCATCACCTAAAACATTTATCATTTGTGTGGTGAACATTCAAAATCCTCTCTTCTAGCTTTTCGAGAATACACAATAAATTATTTATTTCCTAGTCACTTATGAAGCAAGTGAAAATAGTACTGGAATAGGGGCAGGGTCTTACCACATCACCCAGGCTGACCTAAAGAACTGTGAGATAATAAATGTGTTGTTTCAAGCTGCTAAATATTTGTGAGAATCTGTTTTGGCATCAACAGAAAATTAATATATTATTGACACCAGAAACATCAGAAACAAGCCAGGCATGGTGGTTCACACCTATAATCCCAGCACTTTGAGAGGTTGAGGTGGGCAAATCACCTGAGGTCAGGAGTTTGAGACCAACCTGGCCAACACGGTGAAACCACATCTCTACTAAAAATACAAAATTTAACCAGGTGTGGTGGCACACACCTTGATCCCAGCTACTCAGGCAGCTGAGGCAAGAGAATCACTTGAACCCAAGAGGCAGAGGTTGCAGTGAGCCAAGATCGTCCCACCGAACTCCAACCTGAACAACAGAGTGAGATTCTGTCTCAAAAAAAAAAAAAAACAACTATCAGAAACAACTTAAGTACATCATACCTTCCTTCCTTTTACGTATTTATTCAGCTGTATTCAAACTTAATGCACTTTGCATGAAGCTACATTTCCTCATTCTACCTTTGTCTGAACCTTGATTTTTATGGTTTGTTTGGTTTTCCCTAAATTTTAAAATTAGAATTGTGTGTATTTTCATATAATAGTTGTTTGTATTAAGCCTTGCAAATCCATTGTAGAGAAAGGCAAAAGATAAAAAATGGCTTTTTATCATTTTCTTCTGTTCTTAGGAAAAAGCTGTCATTTCTTTTTTTTTTTTTTTTTTTTTGAGACAGAGTTTTGCTCGTTACCCAGGCGGGAGTGCAATAGCGTGACCTCGACTCACTGCAACCTCCACCTCCTGGATTCAGGCAATTCTCCTGCCTCAGCCTCCTGAGTAGCTGGGATTACAGGCACGCGCCACCGTGCCCAGCTAATTTTTTTTGCATTTTTAGTAGAGACGGGGTTTCACCATGTTGACCAGGATGGTCTCTTTGACCTCGTGATCCATCCCCCTCGGCCTCCCAAAGTGCTGGGATTACAGGTTTGAGCCACCGCGCCCAGCCAAAAGCTGTCATTTCTAAGGTATGATCTAGCTGTTGTCTTTTCTCATTCTGAACCTTTTGCAAAAGATCTCTTATCAAGAGTAAAGGAGACATTTCAGAGAGGGGCCCAGCTATTAGAATTGTGAAATTACTAAATTTCCATCTCTTAATGAAGGACAACTTTTTAAAAGCACAAAGCTAACGTTGGAAAAAGCCCTCAGAGGTCAGACTAATCAGGACCAGTGAGGAATTTCCAGTCCTCTACCTCCACCCCTAATACAGAAAAAGGCAATGAGATCCTGGACTATCTTCTCCCTTACATGGGATCAGAGCCAGGCAACTTCTGGTGGGAGAACTGACAATGGACATCTGGAAGGTTCTAGAATCTAGAGACCCAAGTTCTAAACTGGGAATCAAGACAAAGTGGGTGGAATCTGTAAATCTGTGTACCAGGAGTTGCTAGGTTTTTACGTGAGTCAAATTTCTTTATACATAAATCATCTTCCCAGTTAGAAGTTGAAACGTTGCTGACTTAGTCCTCAAAGCACTGCACGGCGGACACTGCCCTAGAAGCTTTCTGTTAACACTGATGCAGTTGTTACCAGACCAGTTCTGGACACCCCATAGCACACACAGACACCTACACACCTAAAAACGTTTCATCTGGGGTGTAAAAGGAGAAAGTCAGCAGAGTAAGGTTAAGTAAGACCCATGCACCGAGTCCCCTCCCCAGCCTCCAACATGGGATCCATCTGGCCCATGAGAACAAGAAGAACAAGAACAAACACGTCCGTAGGGCTGCTTCCCACCTCAGCCACACAGCAGGGCAGACTCACCAAGAACCGACTGGGTCTGACCTACCAAAGTCTGCCCCAGCCAAAGCAGAACTGCCGGATGAGCTCAGAATTGATGTGCCTCAGGCCAATTGCCTCATAATGCTGCCTACAGAAGCCCCAGCAAGCACTGGCTAAGGTTCTGTTACCTCTTCAACTGCCTTGAGCACCCAGATAGAATTCATTCACGTGGAGAAAAATGGCCAAAGGCAGATATGTGCCAGAAACCCCTACTGGGGCTAAGCAGTCAAGACATACCAGCCGCTAACTAGAATAAGAGTTGTTAGGCCTCCTAACTGTACTTCCCAGAAAACTCAACAGCCTAGCACAGGTGTCTTAGGCACTGCCCATGCCCAAATTACAGTTCCCAGGAAGCTCAGCAGCCCTGCTCAGAAGTGTCAGTTCCCAGAAAAGGCAGAGAGAGGCTAAACACAGGGTAGACGACACTCCACAAATTCAGCAGCGCTTGCTTCTCCCTTCGGGAACCTGGTCCCAGTTGCCTCCTTCTGGTCCCTCCCTGGGAGGCTGAACAACCTAGGGGCATTGGCTCCAGTAACTAGACAAAGCTTCATCTCTCCCTTGTTCGGGTGGAGGGAAACCCTCAGTAAATTATAACTTCTATAATCCACTTTATTCAGCCCTCTTTCACATATGGGACATTGATAGCATCTGTTTCCAACATCCTTTCCTGTTAATTCTATCAGTGTGTCACTTCTGGGTCTCTGAGTTTTCTTCATGTTACAGGGTTGTATTTTCCTGCTTCTTTGCACACCTGGGTAAGTTTTTTGATTGGATGCCAGACATGGTCAATTAGTGACAGATGGCTTTCTATTTATTAGTCTCTGTCTGGAAAACTGCTAAGAACTTGGAAAGTTTGACCTTTTCGTAGCTTGTATGTATGTTTTGTGAGGAGGGTTCAAGGCAGCCTTTAATATAGAGCAAATCTGAGCCACCCATAGAAGCAATACTCCTCCTAAGGTCCACTGTGATTCTCCAAATGTTAGGAGGCGTTTCCATTCCAGCTGGTGGAAGTGCCGGTTCCTCCCAACCTTGGGTAGCATCCAAGGATTTTTCTGCCTGTTCATTTCCAATATTTCTTCCTCCAACCTGGCAGGGGGAGAATTCCTCACATACATGTGCTGATTATGACTCAAAGGCTTGTGGGGGAAACTATAGAACTCTCAATTCTGAGTGCAGCTCTTCCCCAGTAATCCAACTCAAGAATTTGGGCCACTTTGAATTCCTCAAACCCAAAACTGTCTCAATTCATAGAGATGGCTGGGATCTCCTTGAGTTTGTCCTCTCAATGCTGCAGACTGGAAACATTCTCCAGGCACTAAGCTGGGGCAATCATAAGGCTCATTTCATTGTTTCCTTTCTGTCACAGAAAGTTTTCCTTAGTCCTTTACTCCTCAATGTCTGATGAAGTTCACTCATATATTGTGTATCTTTTTTAGATATTTAAGGCAAGAGATTACAGATATTAGACATTTATCGTTAAAGAAAAAGGGATTGTTGGAGTTGACTATGAAAAAGATTAGTCAGCATCTAGGTTCATTACGTCATATGTATTCCATACTCATAATAAAGTACGTTAGCTTTTTTTTTTTCTTTCTTAGAGTCTTATTCTGTCACCCAGGCTGGATTGCAAGTGGCATGATCATTGCTCAATGCAGCCTAGAACTCCTGGGCTCAGGCGATCCTCTTGCCTCAGCCTCCCAAGTAGCTGGGACGATAAGCACATACCACTATGTCTAGCTATTATTTATTTATCTATTTGGTAGAGATATAGTCTTGCTACATTGCCCAGGGTGGTCTCAAACTCCTGGGATCAAGTGATCTTCCTGCCTTGGCCTCCCAAAGTGCTGAGATTATAGGTGTGAGCAAGTGTGCCTGGCTGGGTATGTTAATTCATATAATTTCAGAATAGATACAAATTTATGTTTGGCAACATTTCAAGCATCACAAATCTCACGTTCTTTTTGGACATTTAGGAGTTATTTTCCAGTGCTGATGTGACTTTAACATTTCAAGAGCATCTACAAGGTTCACATATAACAATCATAAGATTCTCTGATTATACAATAAAAATGTTAACATACCCTGGATCATAATTATTAAGATAGGGAGATTATCCTGGTTTATCTGGGTTTTCCCAATGTAATCACAAGAGTCCTCAAACATGGAAGAGGGAGACAGAACACTCAAGTGTTAAGAGTGATGTAAGACCGATTGGTCACTGCTGGTTTTGAAAGGAGGCCTCAAACCACAGAATTTAAGCAGCTTCTAGAAGCTTGAAGGGCAAGGAAAGACGCTCCCCTAGAGCCTCCGAAAGGAAAAGCAGCCCTGTCAACAGCTTGATTTAGCCCTGTGAGACACATCTGGACTCCAGACCTCCAGAACTGTAGGGTAATAATTTTGCATCATTCTAAGGCATCAGATCTGTTAGCTTGGTGCAGCACCCACAAGAAACGAACAGTTTTACTTCCGTATTTGTTATATTCATAGGTTTTCGTTACATAATAACATTCCTGGGGCTCAAGATGTCATTTATTAAACATGTCCCTCCAAGACTCTCAAGGCATAAAAGTGTGATACATGAGTTAATTTGGTGAGTTTCCATCATTTCTCACTTTTAAGACTTTTTTCCTATAAATTCTCCCATAAAAATTTTACTAAAAATGTTTTCCATCTCCATTGCCTCTAAAGTTGTCTGTTTCTTTGACACACGAGGCACAATTAAGCACTAAAAACACCATCACAATCTTTCATAAACATTCCTGTAAGAATTCTTTTGATACCAATTGAGATACCATCTCCAGGTAAGGGCTTCCTAATAACACCTGCATTTCTATCCAACGTGATTTCGATGGTGTGTAACAGGTTCAGCTTCTCACAGAAATGTCCTCCACAACCAGTGCCTCCGTGGTTTCAGCCCTAAATGAGCTATCTGGCATATAATGGTTGGAGGATTCCTGCTAAAGATTTTCCCACCTTTCCGGTATCAGAAGATTTATTCTTATAAAGTATCTTTAAGATACAAGATATAGTTTATTACTGATGGGGCCACATTTACTTCATTCGCAAGTCTTATTCCTTGTTCGAATTCCTGATTCACTACAAAGGGTTGATTTCTTGGAAAAGGTGGGTCCACAATCACTACATTTCTACCCACTAGGAGCTCACTAATGTTTAACAATGGGGGGGTTCTTGAGGAAGGCATTTCTGTATGTACCGTGTTCACAGTGTTTTGCTCTTGTGTGAGTTCACTCATGTATAAGGAGGTATGGCTTCTGGAGGAAGGTTTCTCCACCTTCAGTGAATTTAGGGCTTTCTCTCTTATGTGAGTTTTCTTATGTTTAATGAGGACTGACATGTGAGCAAAGGCTTTGCCACAGTCACTGCATGAATACGGTCTCTCTCCAGTGTGAGTACGCTGATGCTGAATGAGCTTTGACTTGCTTCTAAAGGCTTTTTCACACTCACTACATTCATAAGGTTTCTCTCCTGTATGAATCCGCTGATGTCTGGTCAGGTCTGACTTAAAATAGAAGCTTCTTCCACAATCACTGCATTCATAAGGCTTCTCTCCTGTGTGAAGTCTCTGGTGTGCAATGAGGTATGCCTTCTGGGAAAAGGCTTTCCCACACACACTGCAGCCAAAGAGTTTCTCTCCAGTATGGGATCGCTGATGTCTATTGAGCAGGCACTTCCGGCTGAAGGCTTTTCCGCATTCGCTGCACCTGTAGGGTTTCTCTCCTGTATGGGTTTTCTGATGGACTGTGAGCTGTGACTTTCTGGAGAAGGCCTTTCCACATTCCCTACATTCATGGGGTTTCTCCCCCGTGTGAGTTCTCAGATGCTCAGTGAGCTGAATCTTCCTCATAAATGTTTTTCCACATTCACCGCATCCATGGGGTTTCTCTCCTCTCTCTGTTCTCTGATGTTGAATAAGCTGTGCTTTCCTGGAGAAGACTCTCCCGCACACACTGCATTCATGCGGTTTCTCTCCTGCATATATTTTTGGATGGTCACTGAGCTGTGATTTAGTGCTACTGGCTTTAACACATCTATGGTATTTAATTCCAGTAAGGGTTTTGTCATGCTTGATATGGAGGCATGATTTCCCATATCCACCAAATGCATCAGAATCTTTTCCTGCATCTCTTGTATTCTGGATAACAAAACCTAAATGAGATTGCAAACATTTACAATGTGAGCCAAACTTACTGTGTCTTTACATTAAAGGAACAGTACTCTTATATAAACGAAACTTATTTCCAAGGGCAGAACTTTGCTGACATCTTTCTAAATTTTTAAGCTCATTTTGGTTTTCTGGGTCATATGGTCAATCCCTTATATTTCTTCTAGGAAAAAGAATAGTAAGAACATCCGTGATCATTTTTTGTGGAGGTGGCAGAAGGCGCAAAAATGCCATGGTCTTGGCTGGCTTTTATAAGATCACAGTCTCAGAGTAATGTCCCTCACACTCTGTGAAAAAGAATGATACTATAAAATGGCAAAAGGAAAACACAGCACCTTTGGCAACAACAATGGGTACTCTGTAATGAGTAAATACAACTTGGGCTACTCCCAAAGAAGACCTTGAAACAGAAACACATTACAACTGGATCAAAGCGAAAACAGATGGAGGGGATGGATGCATTCACCCAACACTGAATGGACTGGTATTTGGGATACTACAGTGTCTAATAATATATTATCTGTCTCCATGAACCTGTCATTAAGTAAAAAGAGAGAATTGGCCAGGCGCGGTGGCTCATGTCTATAATCCCAGCACTTTGGGAGGCCGAGGCTGGTGGATCACGAGGTCAAGAGATCGAGAGCATCCTGGTCAATGAGATGAAACCCTGTCTCTACTAAAAATACAAAAATTAGCTGGGCGTGGTGGCGTGTGCCTGTAGTCCCAGATACTCGGGAGGCTGAGGCAGGAGAATTGCTTGAACCCAGAAGGCGGAGGTTGCGGTGAGCCGAGATCGCGCCATTGCACTCCGGTCTGGGTAACAACAGCGAAACTCCGTCTCAAAAAAAAAAAAAGAGAGAGAATCAACAGGTATGCAGAGAAGCAAGAAAATTACAGAATGTGAAGAACAGTAAAAAGGAAGTAGCTCACATCATAGGGTAAAAACGAGCAATGTTATGCAAAGAACAAAATAAAGAACATTCCAAGAAAAGAGAACAGCCAGTGTGAAAACCCAGAGGCAGAAAAATCTTAGGTGTCATCAAAAAAATGTAAGAGGAGCTGGTATGCTGGAATATCCCGAGTTTGAATGAAGTAGAAATACAAAAGTTTGGCAAGGCTGGCAGAATTAACAACATAGAGATTTTGTAGGAGGACTTTGTTAGAAACTGGAATGTATGCTAGGAACAATGGCAGTAAGCCACCAAACACTTCCTGCCAAGAAAAGTGTTCCGAATTGACAGTCCCAACATTACTGTTCTATGGAGAATCAAATGGAGAGATAAAATTATAGAAAAGAATACACTGGAGGCGATGGCAGAATTCAGGTGGCTTGATCAGGAATAATTACAATGGAGATGGAGAAATGTGAAAAAACAAGGACATAGGATGGAGGAGGAAGACTTAAGATTCGCTCTTACAACAAACGTTGCCAGTAGAAGGGGAAGAATTGACAACAGCTGCTCACTGTGTGGCTTAAACACCTATATAGGGGCTGGTGCCATGTAATAAAATGAGGGAGATTAGGGGCGTAGGTTTGCCACTGGGGTAGGGGGAAACGCATGCTCCATTTAGAGGCCTGTAAAGGCTTGAGATGAATAATACATAATTAAAGAGACCATATCAAGTATACAGATCTATGAGTATAGAGAAAGTTCTAGATATAAGCTTACAATTTTAAGTCACAAGTATATAAACATTATTCAAATACTTGGGACTGTGTAGGACTAGATGAGATTCTTTAGGAAGGATAGACAGAGAAACAGGTGGGCCTAGGACAAGAGCTTCATGCACTTTGAGTCTTAAGAGTTTTGGGAGAGGGATATGCACAGAGAATTTGAAAAGACCATCCAGAGACATCAAACTGTGTCTGTGCTGACCAAGCAAATAAGCAATGTGGGTTTGAGTAACAAAGGTTTAGAACTGGAAAATCAGAATACAGGATGCACAGCATTTCCTTCCAAGGTCACTGAGGCAAAATAATAATTACCTAGTTACTAAATCTTTCCCGCCTTGTTGCAACTGCACAACAAAATCAAACTTTTCTAAAACACCAATTTAGAGCAATACCGTAGTCAACACTCCAACTTGCTATACAGACACCGAGACACTGTGATACAAGAATAAATACGTATTTGGACTTCACCCCTGGTTCCTGGCACGGAATTCCTACATCCCTTGCAATTTCCTGAGTGTAGGGGTGATGGTAGCAATTCTAATACTTGATCTCTGACTCTAGTACCTGACACAGAGCCCCTAAATCTATTGGAAGTTCCTGGGTGATGAGGGCATGTTTTATTCTAACGAAGCAAATCTTGATGGACTCCAGACAGTTTCAAGATGGGGGTTGGTCACATCCTCCAGATAAGGCTGAAGTTTTTGGGTTTTTTTTTTTTTTTTTCTTGAGATTTCACTCTGTCGCCCAGGCTGGAGTGCAGAGGCACAATCTCAGCTCACTGCAACCTCTGCCTCCCAGGTTCAAGCAATTCTCGAGTCTGAGTCTCCTGAGTAGCTGGGATGACAGGCACCAGTGACTATCCCTGGCTAATTCTGTATTTTTAGTAGACATGGGGTTTGACCATTTTGGCCAAGCTGCTCTCAAACTCCTGACCTCAAGCCATCCGCCCACCTTGGCCTGGGACAGCAAGCACGAACCGCCACGCCAAGGACTTTTTTTTTTGCGAGTCTTGCTCTCGAAGGACTTTTTTTTTTTTTTTTGTGACAGTCTTGCTCTCCATGGACTGGAGTGCAGTAGTGCCGTCTCAGCTTACTGAAACCTTCACCTCAGTGATTCTCCTGCCTCAGCCTCCCGAGTAGATGAGATTATAGGTGTGCACCACCACCACACCTGACTAATTTTTGTATTTTTAGTAGAGATGAGGTTTCGCCACGTTGGCCAGGCTGGTCTTCAACCCCTTACCTCAGGTGATCTGCCCACCTCAGCCTCCCAAAGTGCAGGGATTACAGGCATGAACCCCCATGCCCAGCCAGGCTAGAGATTAATAATCAATCATATCTATGCAATGAAGCCTCCACAAAAATAATTACAAGATAGACTTCAGAGAGCTTCCAGGTTAGTGAGCACACTTACATACTGGAAGAGTGATTCACTCCAACTCCCTGAAGTTAGAAACTCCAGTGCTTGCGACCCTTCTAGATCTCGCCCTACACACCTCTTCATCTGGCTGCATCCTTTATCATGGTCTTTGCAATAAATCAGCAAGTGTGTTTCCCAGGATTCTGTAAGCAGTCACAACAAATTATCAAAACTGAGAAGGGGACTGTGGGAACCACGTATTTGTGGTCAAGTCAGAAATGCGGGTAACGTGGGGGTCTGCTACTTATGACTGGTATCTGAAATGGGAGACAGTCTGGTGAGACTGAGCCCTTAACCTGTGGGGGCCATACTAACTTCAGGTAGTTCGTGTCACAGTGATATTGTGAGACATTCAGCTGGTGTCAGGAGAGTTGGAGACCTGGCTGGTGTGAGGAAAACCCCTACACATTTGGTGTCAGATGTATTCCATAAGAGTAGAAAAACAATTTTTTCCCCTGACAGGTATGAAACAAGCATACAATATTCGGTATTCCAGATACTTATGATTTAAAAAACAGTTCCCTGGATCAGCTTCCCTTTTCCCAGGGAAGTGTTACAGTCACACTGGCCAGTGGAAATGAGTCAATATGAACTAAGTCTCCATCAGTTTAATAATATTCTAACTGTGTTAAACGCAGAACCTTCTGCAATGACGGAAATGTCCTATATCTGTGTTTTCCAATATGGTAGCCACTGTGTGTGGCTATTGAGTGGCCACTTGAATGTGGCCAGGGTGACTAAAGAACTGAATTTTTGGACCAGGCGCAGTGGCTCACACCTGTAATCCCAGCGCTTTGGGAGGCTGAGGCGGGCAGATCACTTGAGGACAGGAGTTGGAGGCCAGCCTGGCCAACATGATGAAAACTTGTCTCTACTAAAAATACAAAATAAAATTAGCTGGGTGTGGTGTTGGGTGCCTGTAATCCCAGCTACTTGGGAAGCTAAGGCAGGAGAATTGCTTGAACCCAGGAGGTGGAGGTTGCAGTGAACCAAGATCATGACATTGCACTCCAGCCTAGGCGACAGAGCAAGAATCTGTCTCAATTAAAAAAAAAAAAAAAACTGAATTTTTAATTTTACCTAATTTTAATTAAATTTAAATAACTATACATAGCCTGTGCCCAATGCATTGGCCAGCATAGACACAGACTATTATCTATATTTGCCCTTATAATCTCCTTGATACGGTCATCTCCAAATTTTCTTCTTTCAACTAATACCACATTCTTCCTTAATGTCCGCTCCTACATCATCTCTGGCACTCATCGGTTAGACATTCTGAGGAATCACTCCCCATCCAGGAAAACATTCAACTGCCTTATCTTCCATTCATCCTAGAACCCCAAGTTATACCTTCCTAATATTACAATGACTCTACCTGACTATCAAGCAAAATTCTCTAGAACTAGCAAAGAAAGATGAAACAGGCCGGGTGCAGTGGCTCATGCCTGTAATCCCAGCACTTTGGGAGGGCGAGGCAGGTGGATCACCTGAGGTCAGGAGTCCAAGACCAGCCTAGTTAACATGGTGAAACCCAGGCTCTACTGAAAATACAAAAATTAGCCAAGCACGGTGATGCGTGCCTGTGATCCCAGCTACTTGAGAGGAGGAGGCAAGAGAAGGAAGTATTTGGACAGCTGTCCTGGTGGCTGGCAACACACAGGGGGTTAGAGTGCAGACGAGACATCAGTAGCAGAGATGTGAATTTGCGAGTCTCCAGTAAGGGACAGGGAGCTCAGGCCTTCAGAATAAATTAAACTTCTACCAGGAGAATCAGCAGAAGATAAAAAGAAAACAGAAGCTGGCACTTTGGGAGGCCGAGGTGGGTGGATCACGAGGTCAAGAGATCGAGACCGTCCTGGTCAACATGGTGAATCCCCGTCTCTACTAATAATACAAAAAATTAGCTGGGCATGGTGGTGGCGCCTGCCTGTAGTCCCAGGTACTCGGGAGGCTGAGGCAGGAGAATTGCCTGAACCCAGAAGGCAGAGGTTGCAGTCAGCCGAGATCGCGCCATTGCACTCCAGCCTGGGTAACAAGAGCGAAACTCCGTCTCCAAAAAAAAGAAGAAAAGAAAATGGAAGCTGGGAAGGTAGGGGAGCAGGAGGTGAATAAGTCGACAGAGACACCCAGAGAGACAGGTGTGAGGGCTTTCACGTGGGTTAAGGTGAGACCATTTTCAGTAAAGGAAATCAGCCCTTTCCAGTGGGGCCGGGACGTGCCTAAGCGACAGAAGTGTGAAAAGCAACACAATCCAGATGGGTTTTGAGAGGAATTTCAGAGCAAGTAAGGTAGGGAGCAGGAGGAGAAAAGCTGGGGGCAGGCTGGGAAGGATGGAACCAGGTAAGAATTCAAGGACATGGACTGAAATCAGATCCAGAAAACAGAAGAAAGGAAGACATGACCCTTTGAGAGCAGGGAAAGGACAGCTCCATTAGGGGCGGACACAGATGCAGAAAGGCTGTTGACTAGGTTACTGGGCCACCAACTAGTGTAAAGTCCTCTAAAGAACACTTTGAAAGCATCAAGCATTTTCTGACCGGCTTGGCTTTTCATGCCACTTCTCCCCATTTTCTTAGTTTTCACTCCCTTACCCGGACAGGTTTCACTGTGGGCCGCCCCTTCTACTATCCATGGCGGTTTTCCTCGCTCCAACTTGAAGAGTGAATCTGGCTTCGTGCCTTGATACCCTGTAAACAAGAAATCACTGAACACCTGGCATGTTTGCTTGGGGAATCAATGAAGATGGAGAGAGAGATGTCTCAGGAACCACAGTATTTGTACTTTGATAAAGTAAAAATCTTCACTCAGGAGAAGAGCACATCCACTTTGTGCCAGGGAGGAAAATACAAGTCTATGACACTCAGATCCATTAGGGCGGTTACTATCAAAAACAAAACAATTCTCCTGCCTCAGCCTCCTGAGTAGCTGGGATTATAGGAGTGTGAAACCAAGGTCAGCTAATTTTTGTATTTATAGTAGAGACAGGGAGAATTGCTTGAACCCAGGTGGCGGAAGCTGCAATGAGCTGTGATCGCACCATTGCACTTCAGTCTGGGTGACAGAACAAGACTCAAAAAGAAAAAAAAAGGAAAGAAACAAAAACAAAACAAAACAAAAAATAACAATTGTTGGCAAAGATGTGGAGGAACTGGAATCCTGTGTACTCCTGGTGGGAATGTAAAATGGTACTGACACTGTGGAAACCTGTTCCTCAAAAAATTAACAATGGAATTACTGTGTCATCCGAAAATTCCACTTCTGGCTATATACCCCAAAGAATGGAAAGCAGGGTCTCAAAGAGATATTTGTACACCCACATTCATAGAAACATCATTCACAAGAGCTAAAACATGGAGGCAACCCAGTGTTCCTTAACAGATATGTGGATAAGCAAAAGGTGGTATATACATCAAAAGAATATTACTCAGCCTTAAAAAGGAAATTCTGGCACATGCTACAACATGGATAAACCTTGAGAACATCACACTAAGTGAAATATGCCAGACACAAACACATAAGGTACTTAGAGAGGTCAAAATCCTAAAGACAGAAAGTGAATGGTGGCTGCCAGGAGCTGGTGTGAAGTGAGGGAATGGGTAGTTATTGTTTCTTGGGGACAGAGTTTCAGTTTTAGAAGACAGACGGTAGAGGTGGTGGGGATGCATGACACTGAATGCATTTCATCCCACTGAACTGCACACTTATGGTTAAGATGGTAAATTTTATGTTATATCTTTTACCACAACAAAAAAAATCTATGATATACAATGCTTTAGTCAAAACCATTAACTATGTAAGAGACTGTACAGAGGCTACCAAATAAGGAAGAAAAGGTAAGTGGCTGTGATGCTGTCCTCACCTACTGATACTAGGTTTCTGTAGTTCTCCGACATTACTTCCTTGTACAAGACCTTCTGAGACGGGTCCAAAAACTGCCACTCCTCCCTGGTGAAGTCCACAGCCACATCTTCGAATGACAATAATCCCTATAATAACAATTCCAATGCAATCTGAAGTGGATAACAATAGATGAAGTAGAAAAGAGGGACACAGACATGTCCTGATCCTTTTCTCCATGACAAATCATGCACAACACGACTATTTCACATACCATAGGACCGTGGAATTCCACTAATTCCTCCTACCCTCGAAAAGCACTAGGGCAGTATTTGCATAGACATGAAACAATGTGCAACAAGAATGTTCATTATTCCTTTGTTTCCAATAATGAAAACCTTATCAATAATCTAAATGTCTATCAAAAGCAGACGGGGTTAAATTACAGTACCTCCATGCTATAATATACTACAAAAATGTTAAAATCAATGAGGCAGATGTATACATATACATATGGCTCTCAATGATCTCCAAGGCTTTCTCTTAAATGAAAAAAAATTAAGCTCCCAAATAATATATAATCTAAGACATGTTAAAAAAATGTAATAATGCAACTGGGCGCAGTGGTACATGCCTGTAATGCCAGCACTTGAGGAGGCCAAGAAGGGCAGATCATCTGAGGTCAGGAGTTCCAGACGAGCCTGGCCAACATGGTGAAACCCCATCTCTACTAAAAATACAAAAATTAGCAGGGTGTGGTGGTGCGCGCCTATAATCCCAGCTACTCGGGAGACTGAGGCAGGAGAATTCCTCAAACTCGGAAGGCAGAGGTTGCAGAGAGTCAAGATAACGCCATCGCACTGCAGCTCCATGCAACAGAGCAAGATTCCGTCTTGAGAAAAAAAAGGTAATAATAGACACAATTCTACATGTGTAAGTACATACATGTATGTATATACAAATATATATAAATATATTCTATCACATGTCAATCACAGGGAGGAACTGGGTGGAGACCCAAAACTATTACCACTTATTACCCTTTCGGTTGAAGTTGGGGCAGAAAAAAGGGTGAAAGGAGACAGCGTCTTTTGATATAAATGCTTCTGTTTGCTTGAATCTCTTGCAAGCAAATGCAGCTATGTATCATTTCAATAGTTAACATACAAAAACCAAAACAAGCATAACTGTGGCTTTGTTTTTTTTGAACCTGGAGTTAGGAAGGTAAGAAAGAAGCACTGTCAGTATCTGCATTCCAAGCTGTTCAAGAATGGTGCTTTTAGTTGTCTCCGCTGCATTAGTAACAAAAATCTGGTTGTTACTGATATGTTATGGTTGAGAGAATTCTTCTTCATGGAGGATCATTTAAAGGTTAAGCAGCCCATTAATTCTACTGGATTCTCCAGGCTTATTCCTGGGCAAAGTCGGATGACCAGAAGCCTGTATTTTCAAGGCACAGTTTCCAAAATTTCAAAGAATTTTGTCCAATCCAGTTTTCCTTAGCTTACCCCACTAAACAATAGGAAAAAGCCAAAGAAAATGTCCCACGCCTTCATTACGAGGCTGAATTTGAAGACACTGTCAACCACAAAAGCTCTCTAAAGGAAAGGCATTTCTCAAGATCTAACAGTAGTACCATGTTTACCTCCCCTGAAGAACTGCCTTGCTCGCTCCTCACAGACATTACGATCACGGCATTTTTCATGTGTTTCCTGTTATTTCCGCTGCCAAAAAAACAAAGGAGACACAGTTTAAAGGAGAGAAAACCCACAGGGTCTTAACAGTCACTTAGCTGTGTTCTGATATAAGAACTCTGCACGTACTGGGGAGACTGAGGCAGGAAAATCACTTGAACCTGGGAGGCAGAGGTTGCAGTGAGCCGACATGGAGCCACTACACTCCAGTCTGGGTGACAGAGTGAGACTCCTCCAAAAAAACAACAACAAAAAAGAACTTTGCACAAACCCCCCAATCTATATATCTTATTTCTTAATGTGTCAGGATTTTAAGATTACGACTTATTTTCCGACAAATTCTGACTTTTATCGGTATTCAGTATCTCATCTAACCAGACTGTCCTTTACAGGCTTCCACAGATCCATTGGGAAACAAAGAACAAAACAGGTAAGACATCTTTTCATTTCTTGATGCAAAAATATTAAATAAAATATTAGCAAATAAAATCCAGTCTCATATTAAAAGAACAAACCATTAAGAAAAAGTATGTTTTTTTGCCCCCAGGAATATATGAAATTGGGAAATAGAGCAACATAAACCAAAGAAAATTTTAAAGAGAAAAAATATAAATGAAAGTCATTGTAAAGGTCAAAAACCCTTGGGAAAGAGAAATAAAAACTTGGTAAATCAGAGTTATTATTTATTCAGACCCTATTACGTGCCTAGTACTTACTACACTTTGTACATAAAGAGCATTTGCTCTCTTGATCTTCATAATGACTCTATGAAATAGAAATTATGACAGCTTTTTTTTCCACAAATAAGGAAACTGACTCAGAGATTTACCTACCCAAGTTAGAGGCAGAAGCAGGTTCTTCTTATTCCATATGCACTTGCCACCTGGCTAAAATTATTTGCAGGTGACAAAAATGCTCAACTAGAAAACAGAAAGACATCAATTTATAAGTTATGTGTAATGACATGAGTAGAATGAAGTGACAGAATAAACATATATACTTTTAACTTCTGCTCTTGTCCACTGAGTAAAATCAGAAACCAAAAAAGAAAAAGGGAAGGGCCTCTGCAAAAAGAAAGAAGTCGCGATTTACAACGAAAGTATTAACTGTGCAGAAATAAGCATAACCAGCAAAGTCCAAGACACGTATGGAAAAATCCTACAGCTAGTCAAAGAAATAAAATCCTTGGGTTGGCCGGGCAAGGTGGCTAAGGCCTGTAATCACAGTACTCTGGGAGGCCTAGGTGGGTGGATCACAAGGTCAAAAGATAGAGACCATCCTGGCCAATATAGTGAAACTCCATCTCTACCAAAATATAAAAATTAGCTGGGCGTGGTGGCGGGCATCTGTAGTCCCAGCTACTCGGGAGGCTGAGGCAGGAGGATTGCTTGAACCCGGGTGGCAGAGGTTGCAGTGAGCTCAGATCGCGCCACTGCACTCCAGCCTGGCGGCTGGTGCCAAAGCAAGTCTCTGTCTTAAAAAAAAAAAATCTTGGGTGAATGGAAATCCATCACATGTTCCCGAAAGTGTTGGATCCACATCAATTCTACCCAGATTAAACACTTGATGAAACTGCAGTTTAAAAAACTCTCCAAGAGCATGTAATATGGGAATACGTAGTTGACAAGATGTTAGATGAAATACGAGTAAAATTATGCCGATACCTAGACACCTGATCCCAACACTAAACATGAAATACCTTAAACAAGAGCGGTGGAGGAGTATTCAAGATGATGGGGAGGTCATTACTTGGGTCGCAATGAACCGGAAAGCAAATTTTCTACAGAATATATAGTAGCGTGGAAGCAATGGGGACCAGCAACCCCCTTTTTAAGTACGCATGGGCTAAGCAATGAACACGAACCGCCCTGAGCTGTCTCCAACACTAACATCATTCGCTTTCCCACCACAACCGCCCCAGCGATACTCTGCAACCAAGACCTCCCAACGCGGAGCCCACGAGCTCCCCGACTCGGGGAACCCCAGCGCCACTCTGCGAAACGAACCCCCAGCGAGGACTCCCCAGGGCTCCCCGCAACACGGACCCCCCCCCCCCCCCCCCCCGCGCTAGCGAGCAACAGAAAAACCCCAACGCGCTCTCCCTGGCCCCGAGACACTCCCAGAATCCCACGCAGACCTGACCAATGACCTCTGTCTCCACCGCTGGAGGCGAGTCACGGCCCCTAAATCTCTAAACCCTCGCCTCAGCCGGCCACCCCGCGACCCCCGTACACTACAAACGCGACCCTCCCAGGCTCCAGGGATGGCGGCCGGCTAGGGTCATACCGCGTTTTCCCAAAGACGCGGAAACCGGCGCGGGCCGTCCCTTTACGATGCAACATGTTGCGCCCGGGGGATGCTTGCTGGGAGCAGCCATTTTCAAGCCTACCGCCGTACAGCAAGCGGAGTCCCCCTTTTTGCGCCGTAGGCAGGCTGTCGATGAAAAGCAATTGAGAACGTCCCATTCCACCTTCTCCCATGCCAGGCGGACTACTGGACCTTGACTTTGCAACATTCGCCATAAACTGCTTAGTTTCTCAAAGGCTCAAGCCTGCCCTGATCTTTCTGCAGGCAGGGTAAAGATGCTCACAGACATTTGGGCACTTTGATCCAAAAATGAATGGAAAGAAGCCATGTGGGTGCGGCAATCTTAGAGGAATTTCAAGAGGGCGGGACCTTGAGCAACAATCGGAGCGGCTATTATCCTGAGGATGCTTCTGGCTGGAGGAACCTTATGGAGAAAGCAGCCTTTGAGAACTGCCTAAGAGGTATCTCTGTATTTACGTCAGACGTAGCCTCCGAGGAAGGAGTCAGTGACAGAATGGCTAAAACGACGGTCTGTTAAAGCTTTGGTTATAATTGGTGCGGAGATTGGGGAACGCGGTTGATCGCAGCCGCCGACCAAAGTTGGGAGCCAACACTAAAATATGATTTTCCTGCCCTGGAAAAGTCAAAGGCAGAATAAGCCTTTAGAGCCACGAAGGTGGGAGCTACCTGAAATCAAAACTCTGAAGGGGACATGATTCTATTCGATATTGAGGCTCAGCTGATCAATTAAATTGACGAATTCTGGCACCAAACCTGCTCCCTATAATTTTATAACCTGCTTCAGAGAACCTTTAAAGGGATTGATCATTCACTCATTTATCCAACGAACGTTTATAAAATGCGTATTATGTGTGAAACACTGTTGTGCGTGCTAGGAATACAAAAGCTGGAAACAGGCACAAAGACCCTCGTTCATGGAGATGAGATTCTACTGGCAGTTTCGGCGCGTGACCTAAACTGAGTGGTGCTAACAGTTGACTTGGTTGGCTGGCTGAAACTTGGACTTAAAATTTGCCTACATTAAATGAAGTTTAAATGCCAGATATTTCCTCATATATTATAAAGTATTCAAAGATACATGGAGTTAGGAATGCTAGAGTGAATTTTTCATGTACAATCAAGATTACCCATACCTCAGGTATGTATTCCAGGAGCATCTGTTAGACAGTCTCTTCACTGACACTGACCTGGTCACAAGAAACAGAGATATACTATTGTAAGACTATTTTATTATACATTAAGTGATATAATATCCTTGAAGTTAAATGATAAGTTTATGATTTCTTTCGGGTTAGGCTACTAGAAAAAAAAACACACCACAGATTGACTGTCTTAAACGACATTGGTTTCTCACAGTTCCACAGGTAGAGGAGTCTCTAGGACTGGACTCTAGAAAGCAATCAAGGTGTTGGCAGATCTAGTGTCCCGTGAGAGTTCATGGTTTCTGTGTGGTTATCTCACTGTGTCTTCACATGGCAAAGAGCTGAGAAAGAGAAAACAAACCCTCTTCTGTATTGTCTCATAAGACACTAATGTCTCATCATGAGGGTTCCAATTTCAAGAGGTAATTACCTTCCAAAGGTTCCACTTCCTAATGCCATCCCTTCAGGATTAGGGCTTCAACATGTAAATCTGGAGGGGTGTAAACACGCAATCTCTCATAACGAGGTAGCTAAAGGACTCACTTAAATGACTAAGATTATAGTTAATAAGCCAACAAAGGGGACAACATGTAATAATAAACACAGCTACTCTAAGGGAAGGAGGAAAAGCAGAACAAAGAAGACAGAATCAACAACAAATAGTAAATTCGTAATTTAAATCTAAACACATCAATACATTATATAAATGATCTGAATGCCCCAGTAAGAAGACGGAGGTTGTTAATTGGATGAAAAAGGAAGGCCCAACTATTTGTTGCCCACTAAACACCCACTTTAAATGTGAAATCATAAGTAGGTTAAAAGTAAAACCGTAATAAATAAAGATATGAGCTATAAAAGAGAAAAACCCGGCCGGGCGCGGTGGCTCACACCTAGAATCCCAGCACTTTGGGAGGCCAAGGGGGGTGGATCACGAGGTCAAGAAATCGAGACCATCCTGGTCAGCAAGGTGAAACCCCGTCTCTACTAAAAATACAAAAATTAGCTGGGCATGGTGGCGCGTGCCTGTAATCCCAGCTACTCGGGAGGCTGAGGCAGGAGAATTGCTTGAACCCAGAAGGCGGAGGTTGTGGTGAGCCGAGATCGGGCCATTGCACTCCAGCCTAGGTAACAAGAGTGAAACTGCGTCTCAAAAAAAAAAAAGAGAGAAAAACCCATGTCTGCAGCATTCGTGCCAAAGGCTTGAGACAGCTAGCGTGACCCGCCCTATTTTGGCTGCTGGACCTATCTGCTTCCCCCCCACCCCAGGGCTGTCGAGTCGAGGCAAGGGTCGAGGGCTGAGCCACTGAGGCAAAAACAAGATACAGAGCAAGGGCCTGCGGTTTACGAGGACATTGTGCTGACTGCTTTCATGTCCCCTTTAGTCTCTGTGTAAGCAACAGACTTGCCGCAATTGAGATGCCTGAGAGGGGCAGAGACCCCTGCCCATATTCTCTCAGGAGCTGAGCCTTTGCTCTACCTCCTGATGGAAAACATGATTAACAAGCCCCCTTAAGGGCACCATTGTTTGCTTGCACTGTGTATCTTTGAAAAACATAGATTAACTCTTAAACTGCTTTGTGAGCTGTTATCACAGGCCCCTGATAACTATTTTTACGTGGTTTCTGTTCCCTTTTCTGTTTACCCCTTTTCTGCTGAGCTAAAGTAAATGTAACAAGAAAAAAGGTATAAAAGCTGTAACCCACAAAAATAAAGTGCTGTGTGTTCTGACTGTAAGTCACACAGACCTCCAGACTCCGCTTTTCTTTTTTTTTTTTTTGAGACGGAGTTTCGCTCTTGTTACCCAGGCTGGAGTGCAATGGCGCGATCTCGGCTCACTGCAACCTCCGCCTCCTGGGTTCAGGCAATTCTCCTGCCTCAGCCTCCCGAGTAGCTGGGATTATAGGCACACGCCACCATGCCCAGCTAATTTTTTGTATCTTTAGCAGAGACGGGGTTTCACCACTTTGACCAGGATGGTCTCGATCTCATGACCTCGTGATCCACCTGCCTCGGCCTCCCAAAGTGCTGGGATTACAGGCTTGAGCCACCGCGCCCGGCCCAGACTCCGCTTTTCTTTTTTCTTTCACTTCTGCGCACTCTCTCCCTCAGGTTGAAGGAGACATCTACGTTGGTGGTCTCGGGGACTCCCACAGATCGGTAGCCCCCCGGCAGACATGCCGGACCCCAACACATGTCAAATTTTTAGAGGTTAAAAATTACAATATATGAGATAAAACATACTTTGGATGGGATTAATGACAGATTAAACACTGTGGAAAAAACATTAGTGAACTGAAAGACCCAGCTATGAGAACTATCAAAAATGAAACAATAAAGGGTAAAAGAATAAAACGCATGAACATCATTTTCAAGTACACAGGTGTACACACAAAAAGATTTGTGAACTTGAACAAGGCAAGAGAGACAACCTAAACTACAAAGAGAACAAAAGCTAACTCCTACCTTGGCCCATGGAGTAAGAGGTATCTTTGCAAGGAACACCAAGTGGGAGCCTCTAAAACTGCCCCCACCCCCAGCCAAATTCTGTGATCAAGATAATAAATGAAAAACAATATTGTGGGAGGGGCAGTGAGGTTTATAAGATATAAAAAAGTGAAATGTATTTCATATCTTATAAACCCTACTATACATATTAGTGTATTCAATCTTTTCTCTAGCAGTTTGAACTAGTAGATGCAGTAGCTATGTACAGTTCTAACACTATCCTTGTTTACTTAGTCTAGTATCTCTGTGAATTATATTTGATTGCATTTTTTTCTTAATGTTTCTCACTTTTCTACTTTTATGCATGAATCCTAATTTTTTATTGGATGCCAGATATTGCCAACTTTAGCTTGGAGTGGGGAGCTGGATATGTTTGCATTTATATATATATACATATGGAGAGAGAGAGAGTTTAGCTCTTGTTGTCCAGGCTGGAGTGCAATGACACAATCTCAGCTCACTGCAACCTCCACCTCCTGGGTTCAAGAGATTCTCCTGCCTCAGCCTCCTGAGTAGCTGGGATTACAGGAATGTACCACCATGCCCCGCTAATTTTGTATTTTTATTAAAGATGGGGTTTCTCCATGTTGGTCAGGCTGGTCTCAAACTCCTGACCTCAGATGATTCATCCACCTTGGCTTCCCAAAGTGCTGGGATTACAGGTGTGAGTCACCACATCTGGCCTTCTATTCTTGAGGCTTGTTCTGTGACACATTTATGTTACTTGGAAACAGTTTGATCCTTTTGAATTTTGCCTTTAATCTTTGTTAGACAAAACCAGATTACTTTTTGAATGAGATTCAGTCAGTTAACAACATGTACTGTGTAATTACTCTATGACAGGCAAGTTCTAGACATCTAGCATACAGGGGTGAACAAGACAAATTAGTTTCCTACCCTCCTGAAGGTTACAGTCTAATTTCTACAGTATAACAACCTTGGTCGTTTAATCTTTGCCAGTCTTAAGGATGAATAAAAATCTTACCTTAGTTTTATTTCATACTTGATAAGTTGCTTATTTACTTCAGTTTTTTCAATTTTATATTGGTTATCTTTTTCTTATTCATATTGTGTATATTAACACCTGTTAATCCCGCCATTCCCTCCACCTCTAGATTTGTCTAACTGGACATTTCATATACATGCAATCAATCATATAATATTCAGTCTTTTGTGACTGGCTTCTTCCTTTAGGATGTTTTCAAGGTTCATTCATGTTGTAGCATGCTTCAGCACTTCATCCCTTTTTATACCTGAATAATAGTCTAATGTATGGATATAGTACATTTTATTTTTTCCTTCATCAGCTGATGGATGTTTGAGTTGTTTCCACTTTGCGCTGTTATAAATAATGCTGCTATAAGGCCAGGCGCGGTGGCTCACGCCTGTAATCCCAGCACTTTGGGAGACCAAGACCATCCTGGTCAACATGGGATTACAGGCTTGAGTAATTGAGATGGAGTTTCACTCTTGTTACCCAGGCTGGAGTGCAATGGCGCGATCTCGGCTCACCGCAACCTCCGCCTCCTCGGTTCAGGCAATTCTCCTGCCTCAGCCTCCTGAGTAGCTGGGATTACAGGCACGCAGCACCATGCCCAGCTAATTTTTTGTATTTTCAGTAGAGACGGGGTTTCACCCTGTTGACCAGGATGGTCTCGATCTCTTGACCTCGTGATCCACCCGCCTCGGCCTCCCAAAGTGCTGGGATTACAGGCTTGAGCCACTGCGCCCGGCCGATTTGTTCTTTTATTATTGCTGAGTAGTATTCCAGGGTATGATTACACTAGAATTTGCTTATCCATTCCTCTACCTATGGACACTTGGATTGTTTCCTGTTGGGGGCTATTATGTATAAAGGTACTATGAACATTCTTGTGAGTCTGTGAAGACATGTAGTTTCATTACGCTTGAGTATATATTTAGGAGTGGAATTCCTGAGTCATAGGGGTTCTTGCTTTTATTTTGCAATTCTACTAAGGAGTCAAATAGTTCTGCAAAGCTTTTTACTCTTCACAGATTTTATATTTTAAGTAACATGTGTATGCTTCCGAAATGGAGTTTTCATTTTGGGGCATTTTCTATAGATTTATCATGAAGGACTGTCAAAACTGTTAGAAACATAAACACTCCATTGCACGCAGGAGTTTCTTTCTCATTCTTCCAACAGAACTGTCTTGATTTAGGTTGGATCAGAATTAGAATCTACGTTATGATTAATATGTAAATAATATTTATAGGTCAGTCAGGTATTATCCTATGATTATGATTATTTTTTTAAAGACAGGGTTTCACCATGTTGGTCAGGCTGGTCTTGAACTCCTGACCTCATGTGATTGGCCCGCCTTGGCCTCCAAAGTGCTTGGATTACAGGCGTGAGCCACCACGCCCGGCCTTTTTTTTTTTTTTTTTTTTTTTTTTTTTGAGATAGAGTCTCACTCTGTCACCCAGGCTGTAGTGCAATGGCTCACTGCAACCTCTGCCTCCCAGCTTCAAGCGATTCTCCTGCCTCAGCCTGTTGAGTAGCTGCCATTACAGACGCATGCCACTGCACCCAGCTAATTTGTGTCTTTTTAGTAGAGGGTTTCAACATCTTGGCCAGGCTGGTCTCGAACTCCTGACCTTGTAACCCACCCGCCTCGGCCTCCCAAAGTGCTGGGAATACAGGCGTGAGCCACCGCGCCCGGCCGATTATTTTTTCCTTGTACAACTTTTTTTTTTTTTTTTTTTTCCTAATGAAGGGGTTGCCAACGCTGTGTGGTACAATGCCTATTGATAGGTGCAATCACAGCTCACTGCAGCCTGGAACTCATGGGCTCAAGCGATCCTCCAGCCTCTGTCTCCCCAGTAGCTGGGACTACAGATGCGCCTCATCGCGCCTGGGCTTGCACAACTTTTCATTCTCCCAAAGTCATCTTATTTATTCCTTCCAGAATTTGAGGCATTTGGTTCTCAGAAAGCCCCGACCTTAAGATTGACTCCACCTCTAAGCAGAGAGAAGACCCTTCTTCTCTCTCAAGGAAAATTCCCGCCTCCCCTATTGGATTCCCTTTTCTGGTTGGCTAGTGGCTGCACTCTTTACCTGCATTGGGCGGTGACCGTGTCCCTCAAATGTAAACTATGTTCCCTCCAGTCGCTGTTTTGTCACTTTCCGTTGACGCGGTGAACGCTTGCCCCGTACCTCCATTGCTTCTCCACACCTTTTTTGTCCTCAAAATCTCCCTCTTGCCCTCCACCCGTAGCTAGAAGCGTTTTCGCGATATACGCCTTGGGGTGTGATTACCCTTTCTCCTCCGCGGAGAAAGCGTTTTCACTTGTACGGACTCCTAACTTCTAAGATGGCCGCGCCCATTATGTCATTCCCGTCATTCTTTGTGCAAAGCGATGACTTTTCTCCCTATCCAGCTAAGGGGGACGTAGCCCATCCCATGTTTGTCTTGGTTAAGCTCGAGCCTCTGAAAATCAATGAAACTTGGGGCGCAGGATTTAGATGCCAAAATATGGGGTTCGTCACCGTCCCGAGCCATCCCTGGATACTTGGGCAGAAAAGGTCCCCTTTACCTTCCGTACATACAGTATTCAAAGATGGCCGCCTCCATGATCAGCGACGAGAGGACGCGGACCTCTTACCTTCCAGTCGTCCGTGTTCCGTACACCTGCAACTTCAGACTCTCTTCGGCCGCCGTAGACCGGCTTGGAGGCTCGGTAAGGGCCCAGAAGTGGAAGAATTGAATAAGGAAGGTGCAGGTTCTGGGAAGTCTCAGTGGGTTCCCCGCAAAACAGGTCTGTGTGTGGGTCTGTCTGGGGAGCAGGATGAGGGGAGGAGGGTGTCTCTGGGCGCCCGTGTAGTACGTAGCCGTGGAGTTTGTGGGGGGGGAAGCGGGAGCAAGAGGGATTCGGGTATCCGGGTTGGGGCGCCTCCGGAGTCAGCCCTGAGGGATCCCAGTGGTCAGTGGTCAGGGTCTGCCCAGAGCAACGCTTGGAAGTCCGTGGTCAGGGTTTGGTGTCTGCGGTTTACTCTGTAGGGCTCAGTGATAGAGGGCTGGAGTGAGGAGTGGTTTTGTCAAGGAAAAGGGTGTCTGCCGCGGATTTGGGATTTTATTTTTCATTTTTGAGTCAGGGTCTCGCTCTGTTACACAGGCTTGAGTGCAGTGGCGCGATCGTGGCTCGCTGCAGCCTCCACCTCCCGGGGCTCAAGTGATCTTTCAACTGAGCTCAGGATCAGCTTTCCCGAGTAGCTGGGACTACAGGTGAGCACCACCACGCCCGTATTTTTTTTTTTTTTTTTTTTTTTTTTTTTTGCAGAGATGGGGGTCTCACAATGTTGCCCAGGCTGGTCTCCAACTCCTGGTCTCCAACGATCTTCCCACTTTGCCACTTTGGCTTAGCTTTAGGCTGTAATCAGGATTTAATATGTGGCTCAGTGAGAACAAGCCCAGGCTCATGGTCAGTGAACCTGGGTGTGTGGTCCAAGTTTTGAGATTAATCCATGGGCGGGGAGGGGGGGGGGCGCTGACCAGTGTTAGGAAAGTCTAGATGTGACAGTCTTGGAGACGCATGTGAAGGCTTTGGCAGTCGTGGTGTTCGGATTGGTGTGTGTTGAGGTCCAAATGGTACGTTCCATCTCAGTCCCTTTAAGTTTCCCTGCGAGAAATAGTTTACAAATCTCCTTTGATTTCTCACATCTCTCCTTTCCCTCATCCTGGTAGATAGGAAGCTTTGGGGGAGATCAAAGATTAATCAAATCTAAAATGGTAATGTGGCCTGGTGGTGTGGCTCATACCCGTAATCCCAACATTTGGGAGCCCGAAGTGGGCGGATTGCTTGAGCCCAGGGGTTGGAGACCAGCCTGGACAACATAGCCTGTCTCTCCAAAAAATACAAAAATTAGCTGGGTGTGGTGACACTTGCCTGTAGTCCCAGCTACTCTGGAGGCTGAGGAGGGAGGATCACCTGACCCTGGGGAGGTCTAGGCTGCAGTGAACTATGATTGAGCCACTGCACTCCAGCCTGGGTGACAGAGCAAGGCCCTGTCTCAAAAAAAAAAAAGTAAACAAAAAAGAAAAAAACAAAACAAAAGAAAATGGTAAGGTTTCTAATCAAGATAAGGATTTTCATCCTTCTTCCTCAAGTTTACTGTGTGAACGTATGTATACACACATGTCAATTTTCTTTCAGGTTTGGACAAGTAAAATAACATCTCTCTTATCCCAAAATATGTTCCCCGGTGATGACTTTTGATAACATTTTATGTATTTCAATTTCAGTTTTCTATGCTTGATTTTCACAAATCAGATAAACCGCTGAAACACTGGAATAATATGCCTTATTTAATTTTATATTATAAACATTCTTACAGTTTTTGTTTAAAAAATTTTTTTAAGATTTCTGTAATAGTATACCATTAAGAGGCAAAACTGAGGCCGGGCGCGGTGGCTCAAGCCTGTAATCCCAGCACTTTGGGAGGCCGAGGCGGGTGGATCATGAGGTCAAGAGATCGAGACCATCCTGGTCAACATGGTGAAACCCCGTCTCTACTAAAAATACAAAAAATTAGCTGGGCATGGTGGCGCGTGCCTGTAATCCCAGCTACTCGGGAGGCCGAGGCAGGAGAATTGCCTGAACCCAGGAGGCGGAGGTTGCGGTGAGCCGAGATTGCGCCATTGCACTCCAGCCTGGGTAACAAGAGCGAAACTCCGTCTCAAAAAAAAAAAGAACTGGTTATAATTCTGTGTTTACCCAAACATGTTGTTCCCTGATCCTCATCTGCACCTTGGTGTTTAACTTTTTTGCAATTGTAGACGGTGTGTTTTTATTTTCGACCTTTCTGTTCTGCTCTAATTTACTCTTATATAGAAAAGCAATTAGTTTAGAAAATATTGACATTGTTTTTGGCCACCTTACTGAACAAACTTCCCTGTTCTCCAGGTTACAAACATTTTCACACATAACACGATTTAAAGAACCTTACAATTGAATACTTGTATGCACACCACCTGGATGTTATCATCATTTTATTGTGTTTCTTTTATTACGTATCTATATATATATCATCTTTCTGCTCATCATTAATCCATATTTTTTTCTTTTTATAGAGATGGCATCTCACTATGCTGCCCAGACTGATCTTGAACTCCTGGCCCCAAGTGATCCTCGCTCCTTGGCCTCCTAGAGTGCTGGGATTCCAGGTGTGAGCCACCTCGCCCAGCCACATTAATCCAGCTTGTAAAATATTGCTTTGTTTTTTGGTGCATTTCAAAGTAAGTTGCAGACATTCATACACCTGCCCCTAAATATTTCAGTATGTTTATCATAAAGTTCTAGTGACAGCTTTTCCTAACTACAAGTCTAGTATTCACATACCATATAATTCAGTGGCTCTCACTATGTGCAGCCATCACCAAAGTCAATTTTAGAACATTTTCGTCACCTAAAAAGAAACCCCATACCGTTTTGTTACCACTCCCTGTCCCTGCATTGCTGTGACTAAGTAACCACTAATCTACTTTCTGTCTCTATAGATTTGCTTATTCTGGACATTTTATGTAATTGCTGTAATGAAATGTGTGGTCTTTTGTGACTGGCTTCGCATAGCATGATATTTTTTTTTTTTTTTTTTTTTGAGACAGAGTCTTACTCTGTCGCCCAGGCTAGAGTGCAATGACGCAATCTGGGCTCACTGCAACCTCCGCCTCACAAATTCAAGCGATTCTCCTGCCTCAGCCCTCTGAGTAGCTGGGATTACGGGTGCATGCTACCATGCCCAACTAATTTTTGTATTTTTAGTAGAGACCGGGTTTCAACACATTACCCAGGCTGGTCTCAAACTCATGACTTCAGGTGATCCACCTGCCTTGGCCTCCCAAAGTGCTGGGATTACAGGCGTGAGCCACTTCGCCCGGCCTACGTAGCATAATTTTTTTCAGGTTTGTCTGTGTTATAACATGTATCTGTACTTCATTCTTTTTCATGCCAAAATACTATTTCATGGTATGGGTATAGCACCTTCTATTTATCCTTTCATCAGTTGATGGACTTCTGGGTTGTTTCCCCTTTTGGGCTATTATAGTGTGCTTTAAACATCTGTGTGTAAGCTTTTATTGTTTTTATTATATATAAATCTAGAGATGGAGTTGCTGGGTCATATGGTATGTTTAACCATTTGAGGAACTACCAGACTTTTCCAAAGTGGCTGTACCATTTAACATTTCCACCAGTCATACGTGAGGGTTCCCATGCCCCCATATACCTGCCAACACGTTTGATTTTTTTTATTGCAGACATTCTAGTGGGTGTTAGGTGGTATCTCATTATGGTTTCGATTTGCATTTCTCTGGAGACTTACATTGAGCCACTTTTCATGTGCTTATGATATACATAACTGAGGTACATGTATTTTTACTAAATATAGATTACAAGTATTTTCAATAGCTAGATAGCTCCATTTCACTGGATGTGCACACTTATAATCAGCCCATTAACCCTCTATTAGTAGGCCTAAATACTTCACATCAGCTTTGCATGCATGTATCACTGTTTCCTTTGCAAAAATTTTCAAGGTGGATTTTTGGGTTCTAGTAATATCTCAATTAAAAGTATTCAATACAAAGTGTTATTTCCAAAATTCTTTAGTCACTTAATACTGATAAAGAAGTATGTCTGTTTTGGAATGCTTGCAATTTTTAGATCTAAAATCATCAGTCTGACTAAAAATTTATTTTTTATGTATGTTTCAATTGAATCTATAAAACTCACTCTTGCTTTGTCATTTCATTTGTTTCCTCTTCTCCAATATTATTTATACTTGATTCTTTATCAAACTAATTGGGTAGATTTCTAGAATAGTTAGGATAGTGTTAGTGACCCTGTTGGTCTTTGATACTGCTTTTGACTGTAGAGAATGTACTTTTATTGTTTCATACAACTTTTATAGGATGTATCGAATTTTTTTAAGTTGAAGTGAAATTCACAAGACATAAAATTAACAATTTTAAAGTCAACAATGAGGTCACAGTATTAGTTTATTCACAGTATTGTACAGCCACCACTTGCAGTCACTTCACATTCTCCCCTCCAGTAGACCCTGGCAACCACCCTTGTGCTGTGTGTGTGTGTATGCGTGTGTGTGTGTATGTGTGTACTTGAGATGGAGTCTCACTCTTGTTGCCCAGGCTGGAGTGCGACGGTGTGATCTCAGCTCACTGCAACCTCCGCCTCCCAGGTTCACGTGATGCCCCTGCCTCCGGCTCCAGGTAGCTGGGAATGCAGGTGCACACCACCACACCAGGCTAATTTTATATATTTAATAAAGACTGGGTTTCTCCATGTTGGTCAGGCTGGTCTTGAACTCCTGACCTCAGGTCATCTGCCCGCCTCAGCCTCCCAAAGTTGGGATTAAAGGCGTGAGCCACTGCACCCAGCCAATGTGCTTTCTGTCATCATGCATTTACTTAATCTGGGTATTTTAAATAAATGAAATCATATAATGTGACATTTAGTGTCTGGCATTTTCTTTTTTTTTTTTTTTTTTTTTTTTATTTTTTTTTTAAAGGTTCTCACTCTATTGCCCAGGCTGGAGTACGGTGGCACACTCTTGGCTCACTGCAACCTCTGCCTCCCGGGCTCAAGCACTTCTCTTGCCTCAACCACCTTAATAGCTGGGATTACAGGCACATACCACCATGCCTGGCTAATTTTTGAAACTTTTTGTAGAAATGGGGTTTCCCCATGTTGCTCAGGCTGGTCTTGAACTCTTGAGCTCAAAGCAGTCCACCCGCCTTGGCCTCTCAAAGTGCTGGCTTACAGGTGTGAACCACTGCACCTGAGTGTCTGGCATTTTCATTAGCATAATGTTTTTGTGGGTGTGGATTGCAGGAAAGTTTTGTGCCACTTTTACTTGTGTTTGCTACAGCCCCTCCCCACTCTGAGATGGTCTTGAAGATCACAACCACCATTCCCAATGTAGGATCCTGGACTCAGGCCCTGGAGGGAACAGAATAGACTTTATTTACAAATAATTTTGTTTGGCTGGGTGAAGTGGCTCATGCCTGAAATCCCAGCACTTTGGGAGGCCGAGGTGAGAGGATCACTTGAGCCTAGGAGTTTGAGGCTACAGTGAGCCAGGATCTCGCCACTGTACTCCAGCCTGGGTAACAGAGTGAGACCCTGTCTCAAGAATAAAAACAAAACATTGTTTGTTGTCTCTTCTAACTACCTGAAAGACCTATGCAACATGCCCACTTCTGTTTTGGAACTCACTCCGGCTGGAAAAGTAGTGGGCATTTCTCAAAAACTTGTAAAGCAGAACAACAACCTTCAGCTATTCCTGGGAAAAGGGCCGTGGAATCTATTGGGAAAGGAGGGCTTGCCGTTTGAAATACACACCCTGGATGTCACTGAAATCTTACAGGCACCGCCTTCTGCTCATGAATGTTAACATCACCTGGGCTCTGCACCTTTCCACTGGTGGCATTCTAAGAAGAAAAGTCTCTTGCAACTGTTATGTGCTTCTGAGATTGCAGAAGGAAAGGGAGCATTTGCAGCTGCGGGTTAGAGGAGGAGTCAGTGCAGGCCCTGTGGGTTTGGAGCCTGCAGGAGGGCCACTGGGAGCTTGTCACAGTGATTCCTCCCAGGTAGAAGAAAAGGTCATGGTGAGAGCATCGTGTAAGTCTCTTACTTAAGTTTTAGAATTGGGCCTAAAGAAAGCCTCTGGGGCTGCCACTCTCTGACCTGGCTTTCAGGCCAGGGGTGTAGCGTCCAGCTTTTCCATTTGTCTTTATGGAAAAAGGCATTCGCCTATGTCACTGTTGGCAGCGCTGATTTCAGAAGGTCAGATTATACGTAGATGACCGTGGCTATCTTCCATGATGAATGAAACTACCTCAAGGTGGTAACAAAGAGAGCTAAGACATGATGGCAGTATGTGGATCAAAGGAATTCAGCAGTGGCTGAAGTCACGTTCTTAGAGACAGGCCACGTGGGTTCAGATTCTACTTCTGCTTTTGGACAATACAGGTAAATCTGTAAGCCTTAGGATAATAGTGGAATGGAAAATAATATTTTATGAGGATATAACGCAGTAGGTAGTAATGAGAAATCAAATAAGATAGTGCCTCCGTTTGGCTTAGCACATTTGTCTTCAGACTGAGGCAGGCCTACATGTGAGGTGTATGATGACTTTTTTTTTTGAGACGGAGTTTCGCTCTTGTTACCCAGGCTGGAGTGCAGTGGCGCGATCTCGGCTCACCGCAACCTCCGCCTCCTGGGTTCAGGCAATTCTCCTGCTCAGCCTCCTGAGTAGCTGGGATTACAGGCACGCACCACCATGCCCAGCTAATTTTTTGTATTTTTAGTAGAGACGGGGTTTCACCATGTTGACCAAGATGGTCTCGATCTCTTGACCTCGTGATCCACCCGCCTCGGCCTCCCAAAGTGCTGGGATTACAGGCGTGAGCCACCGCGCCCGGCCTAATGACTTTTAAGCAAGCATGTGAACATGTGGTTTTAAAGAAATAAATACCCAAATCCTCACCTTCTCTGTCCTTTTTCTAAAACCCAATCTAGGAAGTCCCTTGGTGTTTCAGCATCATGCTGGTGCTGGTTCTCCTTTCCCCTCTCCCCTCTCACAGTCGCTCCACTTCCATTTTCCAGAAGAAAAACAGGTTATAAATGTATTGCTCATACAGGTAGAATGTTACGTTCTGTTGCCCTAGGATTTGTTGTTGCCTCAGGTTGGCTAAAAACTTCTGGGGCCCCACATAAAGGGACAGGTAGAGATGGCCTTGCGTTAAGGTGAGTACACAGCAGCAGTGACAGCACCTGGACCTGCAGGGAGTGGACTCCACATAAATGTACTCTTCAATCCACAGGTTCTGACTCCAGAAGCAAGACACGTCAAGTGAGGTGAGGAGGAGGTCCAGGACCTGGATGTCATACTCTGCAGGGATGTAATGCACCAGGATTTCTAGCCAGAAATTGAAGGCAGTTCAGGAAGAGACTACAGACGCAGCATCCTACCTACCGGCCATTTCCCAGTCACAGAAGAAAATGATCACATCCCAGGTGACTTTTGGTTTGTTTTATTCTTTTCTTCATCAGATGATTTCTGGACAACTTTAAAAGTCAATTGAATGAAGTGAAGAAGTATAAATTGGTAAACCGGAATTTGTGCATTGGTAAATTTAGATTCTGATTTCAACATCTAGGCGAAGCAGGATCAGGACTATATTGTTCACATGTGGCATCATAGAAAGATATTTGGTCTTTGCAGTTCTTGGCATAGAGCTCCTCAAACTCTTGGAATTTCCTGAATTATAAGCGTCTTTTTTTTTGAGACAGGGTCTCACTTTGACACCGAGGCTGGAGTGCAGTGGTACAATCTCGGCTCACTGCAGCCTTGGCCTCCTGGGCTCAAGCGATCATCCCTTCAGCCTCCCAACTAGCTGGGACTACAGGTGTGTGCCACTGGGCCCAGCTAATTTTTTTGTAGAGATGGGGTTTCACCATGTTCCACAGGCTGGTCTTAAACTCCTCAGCTGAAGCAATTCGTCCACATTGGCCTCCCAAAGTTCTAAGTCTACAGCTGTGAGCCATCATGCCTTGTCCTCGTTTTTCTAGTGAGACTACTCTTGGTAGAGTCCTAGGTAGCTTCAGGGTGGAGGCTGGTTGCCAGAAAGACCAAGCCTTGATTAGAAGCTTGGAACTTTCAGTCCTACCCCTAATCTCCAGGGAGCAGAGAGACGTTGGAGATGGAGTTCAGTCACCAGTGGCCAATGATTTATTCACCCATGCCTGTGTAACATAAAACCTCTAAACAGAGGAGTCTGGAGAGCGGGGTTGGTAAACACATCGAGCTTCTGGGAGGTTGGTGCCTGCAGAGAGAGCATGAAGTTTATCCCCATACTCCAGCATACTGTGCCCTGGGCAGCTCTTCCATTTGGCTGTTCCTGAATTGTAAATAAAGCAGTGCTTTCCTTAGTAGATTATTAAACCTGAAGGTGGGCTGCAGAAATCCCCACATTAGTAGCCAAGGGAAAGAAGTCTTTGTAACCTGGAGACCTCACACTTGTGACTGGTGTCTGAAGTGGGGCTGGTCTTGTGGGACTGAAACCTTAACCTATGCGGTCTTCCAGGGGTTGGTGTCAGAAATGAATCTAATTGTTGGACACCTACTTGATGTTAGAGAATTGGAGAATTGCTTGATGTGAGCAAAAGCCCACACATTTGGTATCAGAAGTGTGTGAGTAAAAGCAGCACAATGGAATTCACACAAAATGACTAGTGCTGGAACCTAATGTGTGACTGGAGCATCCTGTGGGTTATAGTAGCTGTCACCTTCTGTCTAATGTGTCTGTCATCACATCCAGAGAGTCGTTGGTCACAGGATATGTACTGACTCTCAGGAGAAAGTAGATCAGTTCCCGAGAGGTGTCACTTAGAAGGAGGTTTGATTGACTCACAGTTCCACAGGCTTAAGAGGAAGCATGACTGGGAGGCCTCAGGAAACTACAAATATGGAGAAAGGGGAAGGGGAAGCAAGGACCTTTTTCACATTAAGGCAGGAGAGAAAGAGTGAAAGAAGTGCCACACACTTTTCAACCATCAGATCTTGTGAGAACTCGTTCCCTATCCCAAGAACAGCAAGGGGGAAATCTGCCTCATGATCCATCACCTCCCGCCAGGCCCCTCTTCCAATATGACATGAAATTTGGGCAGGGACACAAATCCAAACCGTATCATCTGTATACAGTCATGTTTTGGTCAATGATGGATTACATATGGGACAGTGGTCCCGTCAGATTATAAAAGAGGTGAAAATATTGCCAAGTGAGTGGGAACATTGTAGCACACAATTTATTTTTTTAAAAATTTAATGTAGCTTAAGTGTACACACATTTTGTTGTTGTTGTTGTTGTTTTTTCGAGACGGAGTTTCACTGTTGTTACCCAGGCTGGAGTGCAATGGCGCAATCTCGGCTCACCGCAACCTGCGCTTCCTGGGTTCAAGCAATTCTCCTGCCTCAGCCTCCCAAGTAGCTGGGACTACAGGTGCACACCACCATGCCCAGCTAATTTTTGTATTTTTAGTAGAGACGGGGTTTCACCTTGTTGACCGGGATGGTCTCGATCTCTTGACCTCGTGATCCACCCGCCTCGGCCTCCCAAAGTGCTGGGATTATAGGCGTGAGCCACCGCGCCCAGCTAGTATACACACATTTTTTAAGTCCACCGTAGTGTACAGTTACATCCAAGGCCTTCAGATTCACGTACCAGTGTACCCAGAGCAACTTCCAGGCCTGCAAGCTGCATTTCTGCTAGATGCCCTGTACAGATGTACCGTGTTTTATCTTTATTTTTAGAGACAGGGCCTCACTCTATTGCCCAGGCTGGACTGCAGTGGGGCTGTTCAGCTTATTGTAACCTCAAACTCCTGGGCTTAAGCAGTCCTGCCTCAGCCTCTCAAAGTGCTGCGATTTACAGGTGTGAGCCACCATGGCCAGCCCCATTTTTTATCTTTCATACCATATTTTGCTGTATCTGTTCTATTAATATATTTAGATACGTTTAGATACATGAGTACTTACCTGTTGTGTTGTAATCCCCTGCAACATTCAGCACTGCAATATGCTGTATAGGTTGACAGCCTGGGAGCAATAGACCATCCTGTAGAGCTTAGGCATGGGATAGGCTGTACCGTCTAGGTTTCAGTAAGTGCACTCTGGGATGGCTGAACAACAGAATTGCCTAATGATGCATTTCTCAGATTGTTTCCCTGTTAAGTGACACATGAATAAACATACGTGTATGCATGTTTGCATATAGTTCTATGTATGTATATATATTCCAAGGTGTATCTGTCTTATCCCTGATCTTTGGATAGTCCCTTTCCATTACTGTATTTTCTCTTTCACAAACAAAATTAGGAAATACTAGACCTCCCCTGCCTCTGTATTTGTTCATCTGTCTTTTATGTATCGTATCATTCTGTCCTTGTGCTGCATCTTTGCACACACAAAGTTTTTTCACATCTGCTGACCACTTCACTGTAAGTAGATCTTTCAGTTATGCTGCTAACATGCCTGAAATGTAAATACAAACACTTTAAAAACTATACGTGTGTTATATTATTTTGAATAATATTATGTATTTTTAAAAATTATTGATCTGTGTATGTTATTGTTATTTATTTATTTTTTTGAGCCTGTTGCCCAGGCTGGAGTGCAGTGGCACAATTTTGGCTCACTGCAACCTCCACCTCCTGGGTTCAAGCAATTCTCCTGCCTCAACCTCCCAAGTAGCTGGGATTACAGGCATGCATCACCATGCCCAGCTAATTTTTGTATTTTCAGTAAAGATGGGGTTTCACCACTCAGATGATCTACGCACCTAGGCCTCCCGAAGTGCTGGGATTACAGGCTTGAGCCACCACACCTGGCCTATTTATTTTTTAAGCCAGTCACGTTTAGCAGCAGTGGGTAATAATACTTATCTCTTTTTCTTTGGACATGTTTGGAAAGATTCTTTTATTTCTCCTAACATATAAAGTATACTTATTTGTCATGTAAGATCTTGTAGGGTCTGGGGTTTCTTCCTGGTTGATTCTGATAGTGCATATGAAAATTCATTGAAGATTCATGGCGAATAAAGGAATATGCTTTATTCATCCTGATATTGCTAAAATATATTTAGTGCCTGGAAAATATGTGCTCAAAGAAAAGAGGATTAGCAAGAGGATTAAATAATCAGTTCTTTTTTTCTTTTTTTTGAGACAGAGTTTCGCTGTTGTTACCCAGACTGGAGTGCAATGGCATGGTCTCGGCTCACCGTAACCTCTGCCTTCTGGGTTCAAACAATTCTCCTGCCTCAGCCCCCCGAGTAGCTGGCGCACACCATCATGCCCAGCTAATTTTTGTATTTTTAGTGGAGACTAAAAATGTCTTGTGGAGGTATAATTTGCACATAGTGAAATGCACATCCTTTAAGGTTCCTGGTAGATAAGTTTTGACAAATATATATCCCCACATAGACTACTCCCCTGTAGAGACAGGACATTTTATCACTCCCAGAAGCAAGGCTTCACCTTGTTGACCAGGATGGTCTCGATCTCTTGACCTCGTGATCTACCCGCCTCGGCCTCCCAAAGTGCTGGGATTATAGGCGTGAGCCACTGCGCCCGGCCAAATAATCAGTTCTTACAGAAACATCTGATTTGTTACATGATGGATAATTACACAGTTACAGAATATTTTGCTAGAGATAGATTTTGAATATAGATAGATTTTGGAGATAGATTTTGCTTCTATCACAATGTATATTTTTACAGCACCTAGATATATAGATGCAGACTGTTTGGTGAAAATGAGCAGAACAATGTCCTTCACATTTCTTGCACGTGAATAAAAGAGAAACACGTCATGCTAAGCAGGACCCTCTTATTACAGGAATCACTGACCCTGGAGGATGTGGCTGTGGAGTTCACCTGGGAGGAGTGGCAGCTCCTGGGCCCATCTCAGAAGGACCTGTACCGGGACGTGATGTTAGAGAACTATAGCAACCTGGTGTCAGTGGGTGAGGAAAGCTGCCCTGTGTCACTCAGAGGGTACCCAATCAAAGGCCTTTGCTTTCTTGGCTTTCAAAAGCTCTGAAGGGCTTGTGGTGCTCTGAAGTGATACATTCTGTCCCCTCCCTGGCCCCAGATAAAAGAGTATAATGTGCCCCCTTTAGAGAGAAAATCCCTTTGCTTTGCAGGCACATAAATTACATCATTCCCAAAACAAAACATGGTCCCCCGTTGATAGACCACAGCTCAGTTCAGTGAGCCTAAGTTGTCATTTCCTATGAACAGGGTATCAAGCCAGCAAGCCAGATGCGCTCTCCAAGTTAGAACAAGGAGAACCATGGACCATAGAAAATGAAATCCACAGCCAAGTCTGTCCAGGTGAGTTCGGGGTGAGAGCCAGCAAGGCGGGTGGCTGAGCAAGTCACTTGATAGTTGTTCAGCGGTGTCTGAGCTGTGAGGGAATCTGAGGCTGTGTGGACAGAGCTTCCATGTATCCCACTCCTCATACAATAGTTCTTTTTCCTTCATGGAAAGAGGCAGAAGTGTAGAGGAACATCTGCCTCTATATCTCCTCTTGGATTTCATCACTGTTTATTTTTTATTTTTTTGAGACAGAATCTCACTATTGCTCAGGCTGGAGTCCAGTGGTGTGATCCCAGCTCACTTCATCCTCTGCCTCCCGGGTTCAAGTGATTCTCCTGCCTTGGCCTCCCTAGGAGCCATGCCTGGCTAATTTTGTACTTTTAGTAGAGACAGGGTTTCTCCATGTTGGTCAGGCTAGTCTCGAACTCCCAACCTCAGGTGATCCACCTGCCTCGGCCTCCCAAAGTGCTGGGATTACAGGTATTAGCCATTATGCCTGGCATAAATAATTCTTAATTACATTGCTCGCCATTCCAAGGAGTATGAAATCTTGCACCATCTTGTTCCATCCTGGGACAAGAATCACTTTTTTATCCAGCATATCCATGCTGTATACTCTCCCCACCTGTGTCATTTAGCAGCCATCTTGTTTATCAGATCAGCTGTGAAGGTATCACAGTGCTTGCGTTCAAGTAACCTTTGTTTTACTTAATAATGCCTCCAAAGCTCAAGAGTATGATGCTGGCCTATTGTTATAATTCTTCTATCTTATTATTTGTTACTGTTAATCTTTTGCTGTGCCTAGTTTATAAATTAAACTTTATTATAGGGATGTATGCACTACATAGGAAAAAACATAACAGATATAGGGTTTAGTATGATTCAGAGTTTCAGGCATCCATGGGGGGGGTCTTGGAACATATCACCCATAGATAAGGAGGGATTATTGTATATTTATGAAGGAGGACATATGGAATTTCCTATTGAAGTAGACAAAGAGTATGAGAGAAACATACAAATGAAAGATGATGGTAAGGTTTCTGGCATGAGTCTGACCAGGAATTAACTTGCCATTTCCTGAGAAACTTACCTTGTTTATACACTGACTGCTTTTACCTTTTGTTTTCTTTGTTTAACTCATAATGGTTTATTCTTGTCCGAGTGACAATGAGCACATCTACTTGGAGTTTTTTAAAACCGTGGTAATAGTGTGGTCAGTAGAGCCAGCCTGTGCAAAGCTGTTTATGAAGTAGTTCTTTTCCATGCTCACGGAAAGATGTATTGTTCTCTTCTTCCCTAGAAAACAAGAAAGTTGACAATCATTTACAGATGCACTCACGAAACCAAAGATGTCTGAAGAGAGTGGAACAATGCCATAAACATAATGCATTTGGAAGCATCATTCATCAGAGGAAAAGTGATTTTCCTTTAAGGCAAAATCATGATACATTTGACTTACATGGGAAAATATTGAAATCAAATTTAAGTTTAGTCAACCAGAACAAAAGGTATGAAATCAAGAATTCTGTTGAGGTTAATGGAGATGGAAAATCCTTCCTTCATGCCAAGCATGAACACCTTTATAATGAAATGAACTTCCCCAAATGTGGAAATTCTGTGAATACAAATTCACAATTCATTACGCATCAGCAAACTCAAAAGATAGATAAACCCCATGAATGCACTGAGTGTGGAAAGGCTTTCCTCAAAAAGTCTCGCCTCGTCGATCATCAGAGAGTTCATACTGGAGAGAAACCTCACGGATGCAGTATATGTGGGAAAGCCTTCTCTAGAAAGTCCAGGCTCACTGAACATCAGAAAACTCATGTAGGAGAGAGACGGTATGAATGCACTGACTGTGACAAAGCATTTCGCTGGAAATCACAGTTCATTGCACATCAGAAAATACATACAGGAGAGAAACCCTATGTATGCAGTGATTGTGGAAAAGGCTTCATCAAGAAGTCTCGGCTCGTTAATCATCAGAGAGTTCATACAGGAGAGAAACCTCACGGATGCAGCCTGTGTGAGAAAGCCTTCTCCAGAAAGTCTAGGCTCACTGAACACCAGCGAACTCATACAGGAGAGAAACCCTATGAATGCACTGAATGTGACAAAGTGTTCCGCTGGAAATCACAGCTCAATGCACATCAGAAAACTCACACAGGAGAGAAGTCGTATATATGCAGTGACTGTGGAAAAGGCTTCATTCAGAAAGGAAATCTCATCGTACATCAGCGAACTCATACTGGAGAAAAACCCTATATATGCAATGAATGTGGAAAAGGCTTCATCCAAAAGGGCAATCTCCTTATTCATCAACGTACTCACACTGGTGAGAAACCCTACGTATGCAATGAATGTGGGAAAGGCTTCAGCCAGAAGACATGCTTAATATCCCATCAGAGATTTCACACAGGAAAGACACCCTTTGTATGTACTGAGTGTGGAAAATCCTGCTCACACAAGTCGGGTCTCATTAACCACCAGAGAATTCACACAGGAGAGAAGCCCTATACGTGCAGTGACTGTGGGAAAGCTTTCAGAGATAAATCATGTCTCAATAGACATCGAAGAACTCATACAGGAGAGAGACCCTATGGATGCTCTGATTGTGGGAAAGCTTTCTCCCACTTGTCATGCCTAGTTTATCATAAGGGAATGCTGCATGCAAGAGAGAAATGTGTAGGTTTAGTCAAATTGGAAAATACTTTCTCAGAAAGTCACAGCTCATCACATACAAGTGATCTCATACAGGATAGACTCTGTTAACATGGTGACTGTGCAGATGCCTTCTGTGGCAGCTCAGACTTCGTTAAGTGACAGTGAGTTCCAAGCAGATAGCAAAGTAGCCATTGTGAGCCAGCCTGTTGCCAGAAGTTCACTCTCAGCAGATAGTAGAATTTGCACAGCAGAAAAACCTTATGAATGCAGTGAATGTGGTAGTGCTTTCAGTGATCAATTACATCATATGTCACAAAACACACACAGGAACAAACTGACACATTCAAGGTGGAAAGCTCTTGAGTAAAATCTTATGGCTGATAAGCATATACTCAGAGAAAATTAGTATGAGGTAGAGACTGGGAAAGTCTTATGGGAAGATAGCTCCTCTCATTAGTGATCATTGGCACGGTGGCTCAAGCCTGTAATCCCAGCACTTTGGGAGGCCGAGGCAGGTGGATCACGAGGTCAAGAGATCGAGACCATCCTGGTCAACATGGTGAAACCCCGTCTCTACTACAAATACAAAAAATTAGCTGGGCATGGTGGCACGTGCCTGTAATCGCAGCTACTCAGGAGGCTGAGGCAGGAGAATTGCCTGAACCCAGGAGGCGGAGGTTGCGGTGAGCCGAGATCGCACCATTGCACTCCAGCCTGGGTAACAAGAGCGAAACTCTGTCTCAAAAAAAAAAAGAAATACAATGATCATGGAAAAGTCCTTGTTCAGAAATAATACCCCAGTAGGTATCAGAGGCTTTACATAAGGAACTGTTGGAAGACCTCTGAAGGCTGTGAATGTGGCAGGGTTGCTAGTGGTACATTCTGTCTTATCCTCGGAGAAAATCATATAGAAATAAAACTATGAAAATAGTAACTAGAACATCTTCAGCAAAATATGAAAGAACACACGAAGCAAATAAGCCCTGTGAAATGGGTACTTTAGAGATTTTGATTGCAAATCTAACATCGTTATACAGCAGATAATATACAGGATGTGTTTTTTAAGACAATATACCTTGAATCACTAGCTGATATGTCAATGACTAATTAACGGGGTTGTCAGTGTTACACATCATTGGTTAAATTTATAACACAATGTCCCCCTTCCCCCATTTTTGGCATGAGTTTTCCATTCCCAACCAAGATCATTATATGATTAGCTCTTGTGTTTCTTTGATTCTAAATTTCTTCACCTGTTATTTGAAGAACTACTGAAGTTCTTCAAAAGGAAATACGTATTTAATAATGTAACAAAACAAGTTAGGATGTGTTTAACTTTATAAATATCATCCCAGAGGAATTAAGTTCAAAACTCAGGATTGGCCGTGCCCTTAATTTAGAAGGTAGTCCTCATCCTAACCCTGTGGTTTGTCTTATTGTTGGCATACCCGCCATTTGGAATAGTTTGTATGATCCATTTTCTTTACCTGAAACTTTCCTTTATCTAGGAACTGTGGACGGCAGTGGGAAACAAAACAAAATTTCAAGCCAGCATTTTTTAAAAGCTGAATTATATGCATGTATAGTTTATACATGCAACTGTAGTTGAAAAATGCATATGCCTGTATTAGTTGAAAAAGACATATAAAGATCAAATTGTCCTGATAATTTCTTATTCAAGGTACATATTATTTGGAGTGGGAAGAAGACAAGATTCAATTTTCCTTACATGAAACAGGATGTGAATACTTTTCTAAAAAGGGTTCATGTCTTATTTCTACCTAAATTATAAATTCCGTGATAGTTTGTAGGCAATTGTATATACCCTAGCAGATACCAAGATAGAAATTAATTATATGTAGATTTGGAAGATGAATGAAGGTGCGTGAATAACCCAGTGGACAACTGATCAGAATTACTTTTGTCATTGAAGAAAAGGAACTACCAGAAAGAAATTCTAAGGATTAGTACTATTCTTAAAAAAAAAAAAAAACTTTCAAAAAAATCCTGAATAGAGCCTCATTTCTGTCGTAAGAGGGGCAGAACAGAGAAGAAATAGGATTCACAGAATAAGCCCAATTAAAAAAACAACTTCTTTCTCTAAAAATAAAGGACAGCATGTAAGATGAATAAAGGTGAGATCCTTTTGGATATTTTAGGTAAGAAGCCCTAGGTCTGTCACCTTGAAGAGTTGCCACTGTTTTAAAGATCCTAGCTCCTCTGTGATATGCTCCATGGGAGCATACGATTTACCTTCATCATTGCTTCTCACCTACGGTGGAGACCCCTGTTCTCTCCTATACTCAGAGTTCCTTCCCTTAATCTAATAAACATTTATCCACATTAGAAACAGTCCTGTTTACAAGGGAAAATAAAGTGGAAATTTGCCTTAAAGTGGCTGCCTCACAATTGAAACCCAAACTCGGGGATATTGGGTGATTACAAGGAATAGGCTGAGCGTTCGCACTGTGACAGGCACTGGTACACACAGGATACACCGACGAACTAAACATGAAGTAGTGGCCTGTAACAGGATGGATTCAGTACAGATGCTCTGCAGTCAAGAATATAAGAAATGGACTCTTCAATCCAGACTTCCGATTCTGTCTACTTCTTGCCTCGTGAATATGTACGTCCCATCATAGCAGTCATAGCATCTTACTCCCTGAACGCATAAATCAGGGTGCACTATTGGGCTGCCCAGGCCTTTTCTTAGGACCGGATGCTGAATTCACCTTGAGAAGTTGGCAGCGCCGGGCGCAGTGGCTCGCACCTGTAATCCCAGCACTTTCGGAGGCCGAGGAGGGTGGATCACGAGGTCAAGAGATCGAGACCATCCTAGTCACGGTGAAACCCCGTCTCTACTACAAATACAAAAAAATTAGCTGGGCATGGTGGCGCGTGCCTGTAATCCCAGCTACTTGGGAGGCTGAGACAGGAGAATTGCCTGAACCCAGGAGGCAGAGGTTGCCGTGAGCCGAGATCGCGCCATTGCATTCCAGCCTGGGTAACAAGAGCAAAACTCCGTCTCAAAAAAAAAAAAAAAGAAGTTGGCATCCCAGCTAAATAAATTTAACTGGATACTCAGTTCCAGGTTGCCTCTTTCAAAAGGCACATCGCCCCTCACCTTCATAAAAATTGTAGCTGACATTTATTAAGCATCCGGTTTGCCAAATGGCAACTGCATTATTTAGTAATTTTGAAAATTTAAACAGCTGTTTGTTTTTATTTTGTTTGAGACAGGGTCATGCTCTGTTGCCCAGGCTGGAGTGCAGTGGCCTGCCTGATCATGGCTTACTGAGGCCAAGTCATCCTCCCACCTCCGCCTCCTGGGCTCAAGTCATCCTCCCACCTCAGCCTCAGGAGTGGCTGGGACTACAAGTGTGTGCCACCACACCCGCTAATTTGCATTTTTTTGTAAAGGCAGGGTCTCACTATGTTGCCTAGGCTGGTCTCCAACTCCTGGGCATAAGTGATCCTCCTGACTTGGCCTCCCAAAGTGCTGGGATTACAGGCTTGAGCCATGGCACCTGGCCTCTTTAGTTATTGGATGGATGGATGATTGCAGACTGGATGGATGGATAGATGTATAGAGAGAGAGACATATAGAGATATATATACATACATACATGTATGTATGTTTCTGATGAGAATTTAAGTGATGAAATCAAATATTTACCCCAAGTATTGCAATTTTGAAAACTGTAGGATGAAACTAAAAAAACAAAAAAGGTCTTCAATAAGAATCAGAAATGTGGGTAATAGAAATTTTTTTCTTGGGTCAGAATAAATCTGAAAGAAAATACTTATGAAAAAAAAAACACGGTAAAGTTGGGAACTAGAGAGAAAAATTTAGACTTTAGTGGCGTCCAGTCCGGAAGTTTGTAGGCAATGATATGAATGATGACGTGGGAAGGCAAATGTTTGTTATTGTTATTTTTAAGACGGACTTGGACTTGAACTGAACTGGATGTAGACCCACTAGGTAAATGTAGCTTTAATTACAACTGTAATCAGCAGTCAATTATTAAGCCTCAACCCACCTACTCTCTGGGGTCCTTGGGCCTCCAAAGTTCCAGCCTCCTCAGGCCCCTAAACCACAGACACGTACAGGCCTCCTCAAACACTGACTCCAAATTAAATCTGAAACCTTTCACTAAAACCTCCAGCCCCAAGCTTCTCTATCACATTAAATTGCAAACCCGATTTGGACACCAAATTCATTCATTAATACACACTTTTCTACCCCGTTTCTCAACCACTGATTCCCACTGCATTCCCTCAACGACCATCAACTTCGACAGTTGGCCTTTCGATCGTTAATATCTCTACCAGCCTCCTAATCACCGACCGCTAAGTGCCCTATCCCCAAAGCCAGGCTTCTCCACTGAGTAAACCCAGACAGAACCCCAGGACGCGAGGTTCCACGTGGTCTCAGAACAGGGGCTCCCCTGCACTGATCCCCAACAGGCCTTTCACTTAGCGCCACACCCAGACCCCGACCCACCCGATCTTGAGTCTCTCCCGACTCCATCGAACACTGGGACCAAACGCAGAGCCTGAACCCAGAACGACTTCCATCTCTCTCCGACTTCGTCGCTAGGGCCTTTGAGGGCCGTCGGCGTCGGGCGGGGAAACCAAACATTCCCACACATCCAAGCTCCTCCCTCGGCCTCGTATTGTGGCGTATGATGGCCACGCCCATCTCGGAGACTCCCACCGGAGGATCCGGAAGGAAGGGCTGTTAATTTCAGGGCACCTCGGTCACTGCGCAAACTAAATGAATTATCGGAAAACTATAAAAACTTCTAACTTTAGTGAGCAAAATAGTAAGAAGATGGCCGCGCGCTCTACGCCCTACTGAGCCGTTAGGAAGAAGCATCATGGCTGCAGGTCATCTTAGGAGGCGTCGGTTTCCATTCAGCAGAAAATACAATCTCTTGGGAGTTTAGGGCGGAATCGTGGAGTATCTCTGAGGACCTCTTCGGGACCATCAAGGTGTGTCAAAGGCGAACTGGCTGAAGGGGAATAGGGGGACAGCGGTCACAGAGTGGACCAAATTTGTGGACGTTCTGAATCCCCTTCAAGGTATGGAGAAGAGAATGGGTAAGTCTAGTCTAGCTGAGAATTGTCTTGAGGCCAAATAGGGGGATGATCTCTATGAGGATCAATGCCCACGTGCAGCTGCATACAGTGTGTGGTTACCTGTAGCAAAGAAACAGGAATGAGACTTCAAATTTAATCAAATATTTCCCTAAAACACATGAAAATGAAAATGTGGGTAAGTGGGGTAATCACAGCAACATTACGTTTTTTTATTTTTTTTATTTTTTATTGCATTTTAGGTTTTGGGGTACATGAGCAGAAAACATTACGTTTTATTGGCAGACTGACTGGATTTTGTGTGTTAGTAACTGAGGTAGCTGGTAGGGTAGATTTCTTTTGTATTTTTCTAGTCTGTGGGTAGTCTTATCTTTCATCCAGCGACAGCAATGGTGCAATACTAAGGAACAGCCAGCGTTTCTAAGAAATATTTAAAGGTGGCATGAGTCTTAGTTTAAAAGGAAGAAGGTGGTCCCTTAGGTCCCTTGTGTGATGCTAACCAAGACATAATTGTAGAATTATAGATGCTGTAGAAGAAGATGCTGTTAGTTACAAGACAAGGGATCCGTGTATCACGGACAACGAAATGGGAAAAATTCAGATGTGACATCTGTATAAGTACTACATGCCAAATCTAACTGAAGAAGGTGACAGATGACACATGTGGGCACCAGCAGCAGCACCCATTCAGTAACACATTTTATCCTATTCAGAAGCACATCTGCCTCTGGAGAGGTCTACATACATGGTTTGTTGGCCTATTGCCAAATTCCCAAATGATCATTGTTTCTCATTTTTCCCTCTTTGTTTAGAAGCACAGGAGAATGTGCCCACAGTGAGACTAAAGGTTGGGCATTGACAATACATTTCCCACTAAATGTGAGATTGGTGCTTTGGGAAAATTAGTTTGATGATGCAGAATGAAGAAAAGGAATACATTTTAGAAACAGGATGACCATCTGAGAGTGCCGCAGATTTTGAAATCCAAATCTGACATTCTGCTTATTTCCCTGATGAGTGTTTGGTTCACCTTAGTGAGCTTTTCCAAACCAAATATGTGAGTGACTAACATCTTGGTTCTTTGCCTTTATCTTTGCAGTTTGGGCATTCTCTGAACATGTTCTCATCTAGTCTTTTATCCTTAAATATTTATGTCCTGATGTTTTTCACATCGCCCTTCTCAATCCCTTTCTCAACAAATTAGGTACTTTGTATTTTAATATCTAATAAAAATCTAAATATGTATTTGTTTTTAAAAGCATGCGGATTTCTCCTACACCGCAAACCTCAGTAATATTCACTCTTGCAAAGGCAGTTTCCACTTATCTCTTGATTCAAGCAAAATACTTAGGAGCAAACTATTCAGCGATTGTGTTAAAATGCGTCTAACTCCTCAGATATCATTAAATATCAGTGGGCTCCTAGAAAACAGGAACATAGTTCTTTGGAGCAGTCTCTTCTGGTTCCTTGTGTGCCCTCAGGAGATAGCAGAGAATTTGCAGAGAGGAAAAAACTTATAAATGCATTGAATGTGGTAGTGCCCTCAGTGATTAATTATGTCACATTTTATGTCTCAAAAATCCAGGCTGGGTGCAGTGGCTCACGCCTGTAATTCCAAAACTTTGAGAAGCCAAGGTGGACAGATCATGAGGTCAGGAGTTTGAGACCAGCGTAGCCAGCATGGCAAAACCCCGTCTCTACTAAAAATACAAAAATTAGCCAGACATGGTGGCAGGCACAGGTCTGCTACTCAGGATCCATTCACATTGATTGCTCAATGTTGTTAACTAGTCTTTGGAATACCTGAGATATCCAAGTGAAGTGAGACATGACTGTGATTATGAAAAGAGATAAGAGGTATCTGAGCCAGGAATGGTGGCTCATGTCTGTAATCCCAGCACTTTGGGAGGCTCAGGCAGGGAGATCACTTGAGGTCAGGAGTTTTAGACCAGACACATATACTCATTTTGCTGTAAGACAAGTAGTGGGCAGAGACCTGGAGATGGCCTGTGTAGCAGAAAATTTACCATTCCCAATGTGAGGTCTGGCCTTTGCCCTTAACCTACCCTAAGCGATGCCTGGTTTTTTTAAATGTCGTGCCTGAAGAAATTATTTTTGTTTTCCTGTAGGCTTGAGCATAAGACAGTCTAAAAATTTGCCTTATGATGGCAGCTTTGGGTCACATAGTAACAGCTTAGCCTCTGATGGAGGTAGACTTAAGGGCAGCCATGCAGGCAGTAGGCACTGAAGCTCCAGAAAAAACTCTGGTCTCCAAGGCTTGGGCGAGCTTTGCTGAATGAAAACATTCATGAGTCTTGTCTCATCTTGCTGCTGATAAAGTAACATATCATGACAATATGGAGAGAGGACAACTGAAAACTCAGCGGTTTTGGTACTAGTCCTGGATTCTGTCTTCTGTGTTTCTCCCCATTGCTGATTTTAATCTGTGTCCTTTCCCATAAACAACCAGAAGAGCGAGTAAAATAGCTCTCAGTGAGTTCTGTGCGCCCTTCAGAGAATTACCACTGCAGAGGGCAAATCGGGGGCCCTGAAATCTTAACGATGCTGGCAGAAGGATTGGTAGCCTTGTGTAGACTGGGTTCCATCTACGGTTTGTTTACCTACAAATCCTCATGAAGGGAATGGATAGTGGACCTTGTCTGTAGGGAGCAGTGGCCATCTTGAGCGTCATGATAGCCGTCTTGTGATCTTGTTGCTCAAGCTTCTGCTTCCCTTATCTAAGTTTCACGTTCTTCTTAGTCACGAGGCCAGCCTGCAGCCTCGTCTCCATGATTACTTTCTGACGTCAGAACTCAGAGCTTCCCGCCTTTGCTTGCTTATAAGCAGCTGCTTTGTACCTAATAAACGAGACTTGATCAGATCTTTGACTTGTCTCCATTCTTCGCGTCTCCTGTCTCTCTCTTAATCCACACTCCCTCCCTAGGGTCTGCGTTGCTCAGGACAGACTGGCGCCCAACATGGGGCTCGAGTACGAGGGGTACAGTGAGGGACGCCGTCGAGGTCGGCCGGCACAGAAGGATTGAGAAACCCGGAGGAAAGAGCATCGTGGGAGCCTGCCACGGACTCGCGCTCCGGTAAGCGGACGGTGAATATGGGACAGGAAATCAGCCAGCATGAGTTGTTTATAGAGAGTTTAAGTAAGGCTTTAAAGGCGCGAGGAGTAAAGGTGAAAATAAAACAATTGTGTAAATATTTTTACTATATCCAGGATGTCTTCCCTTGGTTTCCCCAGGAAGGAACCATAGACCAAAAATGGTGGAAAAGGGTGGGAGATGCTTTGAAAGATTATTACAGTACTTTCGGACCCGAAAAGGTCCCAGTCACAGCTTTTTCTTATTGGAACTTAATAGATGAAATTTTAACTCAGAGATGCCACGATCCCCTCATTGCCAATGTAATCTCCCAGGGAGAGTCTCCTAAAAGGGGAACTCGATAAGAGCAACTTCGGCAGTGCTAAGAGTCCAGATGACTCCAAGCAATTGTCTGTAAATGAAGAGGCGCAATCGCCACAAGTTAATCAGGAAGAGGATCTGATGTCTTTTGATAGTGACTCCGAGAAGAGAGCGCCCGGAGGGTCATAGTGACCCTCCAAGAGCCAAAGTCTGCCTTTAGAAAAAACCAAAAGAGGATCTAAAGGGCATACCCAAGGATCCGATAGACCTAAAGTTAAATCTTTAAACCAGAAAAAGAGATCCACTTGGTTAATGGAAAGGGCAAAAAATTCAGAAGACGAGGGCATAGATGAAGGAATAGACTGGGGTGACTTGGAGGATAAGGCAGCCCGGTATAAAAACCAGGACTGGTCCCCCTATGGACCGCGACCTCCGCCTTACAGAGCGGGACCCTCGGCACCCCCCAATAGCATGTCCCGTTGTTGATCCCCAAAAAGAATTACAAAAGAAAATCAATTCCCTAAAAGAACAGATAAGGCTTGAGGTAGAACACCAAGAGCTCATTGAACAGCTTGAAAAAATAAAGATAGGTAAAGCCAGGAACGAGGCTAAGACCCAAAACACCCAAAACGTTATTCCTCCCCGATGAGGAGCAGCACTAAAGCAACCTTCCCACACCAACCCTTTGCTGGACCTTAATAATCCGAGTGCATTCCCCATAACAGAAACCACTGATCAACAAGGAACCGCTTGGAAACATCATGCCGGTTTCGATTTTAAAATAATTAAAGAACTAAAAACTGCGGTGGCACAATACGGGGCCACTGCTCCATACACCACTGCAATTTTGGAATCTGTGGCCAAAAATTGGCTTACCCCAGGGGATTGGCAGACATTAGCCTGAGCCACCCTTTCAGGGGGTGATTATTTGTTGTGGAAATCTGAGTTTTATGAATGCTGTAAGGAAACTGCCCACCGCAATGCACAGCTAATAATAATTGGAATTTCGACATGCTAGCTGGTGAAGGCAATCACGCTACCAGCGACGCGCAAATGCGATATGATGCAGGTTTGTAAGCCCACATTCAAACTGGGGTACGAAAGCCTGGCAGAAGCTGCCCACAAAAGGGGATGTTAGTACCTCCCTCACCAGCATAAAACAAGGGCCAGATGAACCTTTTTCAGAGTTTGTACATCGCCTTATTACAGTGGCAGGCAGAATTTTTGGCAATGCAGATGCGGGCACAGATTTTGTTAAACAACTGGCATTTGAGAATGCCAATGCTGCCTGCCAAGCGGCTATCCGCCCTTATAAGAAGAAAACAGACCTCTCAGGGTATATACATCTGTGTTCAGACATAGGTTCAGCTTATCAACAAGGACTAGCTATGGCTGCAGCCCTACAGGGCTATACTGTGAAACAGTTCCTATCTAATCAGTCAAAAAATAGGTGCTTTCAATGTGGCGCCAGTGGTCA